CTTATTTATAACTGCATCCCTTAAGTAAGTCTATGCGCCAGAGGCCTGGCCAGGTGCTGGGCACAGAAAGGAATGACACCTCTCTGCACCCTGTGAGCTCATGCAGAAAAGCAGGACCATGCAGTCCAGAGTCATAGGTGTGAGAGGCCAGAGGAGCAGGTGGCAGGGGTCCCCGGTTTGGAGCCAGCAGAGGGATGCCTGTGCCAAGGGACAAGGGCTGCACTGTCAGGCTTGGCGGGGGTGGGCGGGCAGATGACTGGCCCGGAGACATGTTCCCAGGACAGCATGGCCATGGTTGTCTGTGACAAGTGGCCATCCTTGCCTGCCCACTCTGCTGCTGTCCTCATCACCCTAGTGTTTGCTCCCTGGCATTTCCTCACCCGCCTCCTGGGACCACCCTGCTCCTTCCTGTCAGCCCCTCCCTGCTGGCAGTGGCAGGGGCTTCACAGGAGCAGTGGCTGGCCCGGCACTGGGGAGCAGGCAAGGCCGGACTGGCGCCTTGGAGTTTGAAGACTTGGTATATAAAGGAAAGGCAAATATCTCAGTAGCTTTTTAATGTAGATTGCATGTCAGATTGTTACCATCTGGGCTGTATTGGGTGGAATAAAGTATGTTACCAAAGATACATTCACCCACTTCTGTTTCTCTCTCTCTCTCTCTCTCTCTCTCTTTCTCTTGTATTGCTGCTACAAAATGTGAGCTTTTCTTTCACTCTCTCTGTTTGGTATTGCCGCTACAAAATGTGAAAGCATGCCTCTGGCTGCTGGGTTTTCTGTGGAAGGCTGCTGTGTTGCATGAGAGCTGGGGGCTGCTGAGTCTTAGGATGATCCCCACCTGGTGTGAAGTGAAGCTGTAGTGTTCACTCTGTACCTGCAAACCTTTCCCTAGCTGTGGTTCACTGGCATTTGCTTCAAGAATCAAAGATGTTCCCACGGTAGCTGTCTTTGGCCAGGTTTAATATGCACAGTAATAAAATAGAAAAATTTAAAGCCCAATAAAAACTTGAAATTATAGATTTAGTCCTGAATTCATTAAATTAGGCTGTTAATGGAAACGCTGGGAACAAGGTTGCCTTGGGAAAAAGGTTGTCCCCACTTTAATTTGGGGGACATCATTTGGAACTTTTTTTTGCGGTAGTGGGGTTTGAACTGGGGGCCTTGTGTATCCTAGGTAGGCACTGCACCACTTGAGCAAGCCCTCAGCCCGTCACTTGGAGCTTCTCTGTAAGCCTTTTCTTTCTCCCACACACATTGTTGAATGTGACGTGTGTCCGCACTGTTCTGGGGAACAGTAGGGAACTGGCCAGAACCCAGCCAGTCCAGTGTACATCTACTGGGAGGGACAGATGGGACAAAATGGCATAGAGCAACCAGGGCCCTTCACGATTTATGTTTCAGACAACTGGCTGCTCAGGTGGCAGCAGGAAGAACCCTTGGGCTGACACAGGAGTGGGGAGGGGCAGTGTGCCCCAGGTCACAGGACAGCAGTGACCCTGGAAGGTTGCCTGACTCTTGAGTTTACTTTTAAAATGGGGGTGAGACCTGGTAGTGGGTTGAAGGAGGGGTCCAGGGACAGACAGCTCACAAATTACATCTTTGTCTTTGGTCTGACTTTCTGGAAAATAGTAATGCCTCTTGCTAAGATGGGGCAGACTAGCAGTTTTGGGCCGTGTCACTAGGCTTGAGCTGCCTGTCAGACACAGGCGAGGAGGATGGCCAGAAAGGTGGATGTGGGACACAGCTTGGAAAGCCGTGGGGTAGAGACAGCTCTTACAGAACAATAAGAGGAGGAAGAGCCAGCCAAGGGTACTGGACTGAAGGCAGCAACATGAAGAAGCACCACAGACTGCAAGGTCCTGAAGCCAGGTGAAGAAGGCTGTGTTTGAAGATGGAAGGAGCCAGGTGTGGTAGCACATATCTATAGTCTCAGCTATACAGGAAAAGAGGTGGGAGGATCATGGTCCTACGCTGGCCCCAGGCAAAAACTGAAAAAAAAATTTAAAAATAAGAAAAGAGCTAGTAATGTGGCTGAAGTAGTAGAGTACCTGCCTAGCAACTGCAAAGCCCTGAGTTCAAACCCAGTACCACCAGAAAAGAAAGAAGGAAGGAGTGGACTGGTGGCTTGGTGATTCTCCACATGACCGAGAGGTATCAGTTGTAGTGGCAGAGGGTGAAAGAGCAGGGAGGCCAGGAGGTGGAGCTGCCAGGACAGACCAGGCTTAGGAGCAGTCTGTCCAGGGAGGAAGGGGAGGGTCCTGGGCTCCACCAATCCGAAAGACTTGCTTGGTTTCTGTTGGATTTGAGCATTAGAATGGGGTGAGGAGAGGGACTCATGACCGAGTTCAGAAATGCCAGAGGGTGAAAGGTCCCAATAACAAGGCAGAAGCTGGTGGGCTAGGTTATGGTCAGAGGTGGGACTGGGCAGGGGCTGGGGCTGGGATGGAGCATTGGTGTGCTCTGTGCTTTTCTCTCGTCTTTTTGTTATGAAAAATCAGATTTCCCCAAATCATCCTACTAAACATGTGCGTGATTAGGACTTTTCAGTTACAGCAATATTTAGTTGTTGAGTTTTTGCATTCAGTGTCCTGCCCCAAAGCTGGAGAAGCCCTGCTGGCATTCTGTGTCTAGGAAGTCACTGCGAGGTAGTTCTTAGTGCAGCCCTTTGCTGCCATCTAGTGTCAAAAGTTTTCCTTCCTGAGGTGTTTTGGGAAGTTGGGGAAGGAGCTTAAAACCTGGATTAGGGAAACTTTATTTTCATTCAGAATACCCTGCTGTTTTTTGTGGGGGGAGCAGTACTTGGGGTTGAACTCAGGGCCTGTGTTTACTAGGCAGTTGCTCTGCCACTTGAGCCATTCTGCCAGCGGTTTTTTTTTCTTTTTTAAATAATGGACTGAAGTAGTAATCCATGTCTCTACACTAAGCGCCATTAAAATGTAAATAAAACATATCTAATTATAGAGGATTAATCAGTTTCTACTACTTAATAAATATAAAAATCTTTAATTAAAGGATTTAGGCTGATTCTGTTTTTCTTTTAAATTGTGGTACCAGGAGAGCTCTGAGGACCTTTCTGGAACATAGACCAACCTGGGTCTCACACCCCTGCCACAGCTCAGGGGCTGTGGTTGGGCCCCTCGGTGACCTTGCAGATCACACAGGGATGTCGCAGGGAGAAGGCAGCTCCAGAACAGCGACTGGCAGTGGATATACTTCAGACAGCCTTGGATAGTGGCCGAGACTTCTCTTCTGGTGCTCTGCCTACATGGCCACTGTCACCTGTGAAGTGTGAGCTTTTGGCCATCGCTACTGTTGGAGGATTGGCCAGATACAACACAACATGGCCGTACTCTGTGAGAGGAGTTTTTTCTTTAGGTGGTATTGCTGCAGCACAGGGGTTAAGCAGAAGAATTTCATGCCCTTTGCTTGGTGATGTCAGTAGATGGGAGCTCTTTATGTTTGCTTTCTATGTGAGCCAACATATGAAAGTTACCTGCAGTTCTGGAGATTTCTGCTGGGAGTTTTCTGGGTTATCCCACAACTTCCACAGCTGGATAGAGCCTAACCTGGAAAAAGTGGTGTTTTTTGGGACGGTGGTGTCTATTTGTCCTCTGGAGTAAGTGTCACCTTTGGACAAAAACCTGAGGGAAGCTGGTGCTGTCAGCTAGTGTGCAGGGTGAGGCTGAGAGGAGAACTGCTTCCCTGCAGAGCAGTTACTTGTGTGTAGGGTGTCAGATAAGCAACGACAGAAGCCCCCGAGGTCACAGTTGTCAGGATCAGTGTTACCATTTGCACAGAGATCACTGAAGCTGGGAGTGGGAAGGTACAGATTCTTGCAAGGACCTGGAGGTCACATCAAAACCCGCTTATCACAGATGTGCATGAAGGAGTGCTGGGTCCCAAAGCTTTAACGGGAGGCACGTGCTACCTTAGCTCCCTTGAGTAAGTTCCAGGAAGCCCGAGTTGTTAAGGAACACACCGTCCTCTCCGTCTTCAGGGGATCATTGCCTTCTTTCTAGACTTTATTAACTGATCAGAAGAGGCTTCACTTTGGAATAGTCGTGTCATAAGTAGAGCATGAAAGATACTTCCTCAGGAGTGTGCTCAAAATGTGTCTCCACCCAAACACATGAACTGTTTGCACACCCCTCCCCCTGCAGCCTGCAGTCCTGAAGCAGAGGTGGTCAGCATCAGCGGGGCAGCTTGGGGAGCATGTCCATATCTGATGGGACTCGCGCCTTTTCCTGCCAGGCACTCCTCTGAATAGGGTGGCTAACTCCGTCAATGTTTTGGACTGGCTAGAATGTTCTTTGTTGCAGTGGTCCCTGGGCACACAGGGCCCTGGGGGAGGAGTGGCTTTTCCCTCCTCTTCTGCCCTTATCTCTTTCCTTCTCTCCCTCTCTGTCACTCACCAGTGCACAGATGGCCATGGAGCCTCGTGGTGAAGTAAATGACCACGTGTCCCTGACAGCCTAAGTCAGGGGCTCGGAGCAGCACCTCTCTTACTTGGGGTTTCTTGACTTTGGCAGACTCAGTTTACCTGCACGCCATTGCAAAGTGCTATTTTAGTTCTTATTTTGTTTATGTAACCAAAGAAACCAATCTAGTTTAGAATGGTCCTGAACACATAGCATTGTACACTTTTAGAGTACAACTTGGAATTACTTTTTGTAATTTGAGATTTTTTTGTTTTTGCGGTCCTGGGAATCCAACCCAAGAGCCTGGCACATGCTAGGCAAGTGTGCTGCCACTGAGCAACACCCCTGGCCCTGAGGTTCTGTACCTAGTGCCAGCCTAAGTGGCTTCTGGTAAGTCGTCTTACTGTGTTTGTGTGAGGTGTGGCTCCAGGGGTAGAGAGCCTGCCTAGCAAGTGTGAAGTCCTGAGTTCAAGTCCCAGTAATGCCAAAAAAAAAAAAAAACCAAGTCGTGTCTACTAAGGCACATGTGCAGCTGCTGGGTTTGTTTGCATGTCCACGCTGACACTCACCTGGACTGGTTTTGCAGGGCGATCTGAAGGCTTACCTGCGCAACGAGCAAGAACACGTGTGGGGCGACTCGCAGACCATGCTGCTGCAGAGGATGGCGTGTGAGATCGCCGCGGGGCTGGCGGCCATGCACAAGCTGCGCTTGGTGCACAGGTGGGTCTCGCACGCAAGTGGGAAGGGCCGAGCCACTTAACCAGTGCCAGGGAATAAAATGTGTCTGCACAGCCCAAAGTCTAGAAAACACTGGTAGACTCTTAAAGAGTGTGAAAGAGTACACACCTGAGAGTGCAGCCTACTTCCCGTCATCCTTCTTGATTGTACCTGCAGGTAGGTCTCTCTCCCTGAGAGACAGAGAGAAGCTGTAGCCAGTAGCATCTTTCCATCCGTGATCAGGGCATTGGTCTTGGCTGGCTGGAGGGTTGGCCCAGGTGCCTGCTCAGAAGCACGGGGTGTCGTGGGTGGGTCTGAGGAGGCCTGTGTGACCAGAGCTGTGTGTGAGCAGCACAGTGACCCACGTGACACTGTGCAGAGCTTTCAGGGCCTGGTAGCCTCGTGATGTCTTTGTTCAGATCATTGATGGTGATCTTCAGATTCAATAACCAAAGCCTTGAGCCCCACCTCCAATGATGGGCTATGATGGGAACCCAGAGGAGAGCTCTGCTCATTCTCCTCTAGGCTTTTGAGCTTGAGCTCAGGGCGAAGAGCAACATCTTTTTAGTTGACTTTTACTGAGCTATGTAAGTCAGTAATCTGCAGATCTGAAAAGGAATGCCTGTGTCTTGCCTTGAGCAGATGTCTGTGAAGTTTTTTTACAAAGCAGACCTCAGGGTAATAGAGCTGTAGTACGACTCCATGTTTTAAAAGCAAGAAAACACCAGGGTAAGCACTCATGAGGCTGAGGCAGGAGGATCATGAGTTAGAGGCCTGCCTGGCCTACATAGCATAGACCCTGTCTCCCCACCAAAAGAAAATAAGGGGGAAGGGTGATAACGCACATCTAGTTGTCCTTGTAGGGGGGGTGGTATATGGGGGTGTGGGGGTGTGGAGCGTGTGGGGGTGGGGGCTGTTGTATATGGGGGGGTAGGTGTGTGTGTGGGGTGTGTGTGAGTACAGACATGGAAAGTCCTATAAGAATCAGCATTCCGTCAGGGTGGGAAGCAAGTGTCAGCCGTCCCCTTGCCCATCCGTATCTTGTTTGACTTGAAGCAGTGAGCAAAGCATTCTGATAAAGTTTTTTAGAAGACTCAAGACTTAAGGCCCAGGCAGAATCCCTTACATGACGCTTGAGCACACTGCGATGTGCTGCCTCACTTTCCAGTGGAGAACTCCCATGCGGGCTTGAGGCTTCTGTGCCTTCGGCATCCAGCACGCTTTGTGTGGCTTAGCTCTGTCAAACATGATTATTGCTCCCCTGCTTTAAGAGTTTTTTAAAACATTGAGGGGACGCATGTAACAAGAGCATTGCATCAGAACCAGCAGCAGAAAGTTACCAAAGACAGCTTGATTGTGTGTAAAGCCCAGATTATGGCCTTTTCTTCACTTGTACATTTAAAAAATTCTCCAGTAGCCAGGCACTGGTGGTTCCCACTGTAATCCCAGCTACTTGGGAAGTTGAGATCAGGAGGACTGAGGTTTGAGGTGAGCCCAGCTAAATAGTTTGAGAGACCTCCATCTCTAAAATAGCCAGAGAAAAATGGACTGCAAGTGTGGCTCAAGAGGTAGAGCTCCTGCTTTATTATAAGTGCAAAGTGCTGAGTTCAAACCCCAGTCCCACCAGAAAAAAAATTGGCAGAGATGTCAGAGTATTTTGCTGTGAGTTTTCTTGTGTTAAAATTTTACTTTACTTAGAATCTTTTAACTTTAAAGCAAACAAAGGTGATAAGTTGAGTCACCTGGTTTGGATTACATTCAAGCACAAAGGCTCAAGGTAAAGAAAGCCCTTGAAGCCAGAGGCAGCACTTACCATAGACTCATGTCCAGGATCTCACATGGGTAGCCTCCACCAAGCACATTTTAAAGTTGGGTTTCGAATATTTGTTGACTGACTCACAGTGGAACTTCCTGCCTTGGTTGAATTAGCACAGCCCACCTATCCACCCCCACAAGGTCACTACTCCAGAACTGACCTAGTCAGTCGCCCCAGTGAGTTGTTTTCAGGAAGGTTTAAAAAGAGCTTTATGGCCGGCTCTCAGGCAGCCTGTGTATCTCTGAGGCGAAGGCTGTGTGAACATCCAGTGCTGCTGCTGCTGTTCCACAGGTGCCCAGAGCCCAGGACCCCTGTCCCTGCCCGGAAGGCTTCCTGAGTGTGAAATGCCATTGTGTCACCGTGGATCTGGGTGCACAGGGCTTCAGTGGGCCGTGTCCTCACTCATACTGGCCAGAGCTGGAGGCCACGGACCTGTGGAGGGTCCCAGGGGGTTCACCAGGCAATGCTACACACCTAGTACCCTCTTCAGGCTGCCCAGCCCTCAGAGTGCAGGTGTTGCGGGACGTGGTAAATGAGCCTGTGCACGTCATTTGACTTTTTTTGGAAGTACGGGGTTTGAACTCGGGGCCTCGAACTTGTTGGACTAGCACTCTACCACTTGAGCCAAAGCCAAGGCCTTTTTTCTTAGGTTATTTTTTAGGCAAGGCTTTAGTTTCAGTGCAGAACAGCCTGGACTTCAAATCCTCCTATTTACGCTTCCTGTGTAGCTGGCTGACAGGTGTGCACCACCACACCCAGCTGTTGATTGAGATGGGTGGAGGGGGTCTCACGAGCTTTTTGCCTGGGCTGACTTGCATCCTCTCAGTCTCCATCTCTTGAGTAGCTGGGATTGCAGGTGTGAGCTACCACACCCAGTGTCATTTTATGATTTTTTTCTTACACACTGTACCATAAGAGTTCAAGTAGAAAGTGAGCAATACCTGTCTGTGGCCTAGGTGTTTCCATCAGCAAATTATTAGTTTTCCTTAATTTGTGTGTGTGTCAAGTTTTTAGTTTATACTGTGGGTTTTTATTTTTTTCTGGAGACAAGGTCTCACTGTGTAGGCTAGGCTGGCCTCAAACGTGTAGTATTCCTACCTCAGCCTCCTGAGTGCTGGGATTACTGGCATGTGCCTCCATGCCCAGCCCAGCGAGTTTGTATTTTTAGAAGTTCCTTCTAATGCTCACTGAGAGAGAGAGTAAAGAGAGAGAGTGTGTGTTTTAAGACACTGTGTAGCCCAGACTGGCCTCAAACTCACAATCCTTCTGTCTCAGCCTCTGAGTGCTGGGATTACGGGTGTGAAGCACCACACTGGGCACAAGTTTGTTGTTTTTTTTTTTTTAAGTAGAATGGAATAGAGTATGGACAAGGTGGGCAGGGCAGTGGGGGGGTGGGGAGAAAGAGAAACATTTCCTCCTCCCCATGCAAGAAATGAGAAGCAAAGACTCCAAGATTGATTCTTAAGGGGAAAAAATGCATGCAAAACAAAAAAAATATTTTCTTTAATCTGTTTGATTAATTTTAAATCAGAACTACAGATAGTGTTTGGCACATAGTGGTATTAAATGAAAAAGAAACAAGCACTTCCACACGGTTTTGTTTCATGAAAGAAAAGATTTTCCTTCACTGGGCTTTGGAGTCCAAGGCAGGGAAGCCTGCAGTGTGGGGGCGGGGGGACTGGCCTGGCCTCTGGGCTTCACGGTCTAATGGCCAATGCTAAATTTGCCACGGGAACGTGGAGTCAGGGAAGTTCCCAGCCAGGCAACAGTGCAGGAGGAAGGAGAAGAGGGGTGGTGGTGATGAGGAATGGGACTGGCCTCCCTCACCTCACTTGAGTTTTAAGTTTTCTGCTTTTGTTTGGATTTGATTTGATGTTAAGTTGAAGATAATGTAAACTTCATTGGTTGAGTGAGTGTTCGTTGCGCAGTCCGTGGAGTTCAGTGATGGGTAAGGTGACAAAGTCAAAGCGAAGCTGGACTGACATTCCAGCAGGAGAGCTGAAACACGCCTTCCTGTGTGGCACGGTGATCACGGTGTTCCCAGCGTCTGCAGCACATTCTGTGAGCACTTAATTGACTACTCGCAGATAGGAGTAGCCCTGTGAGCCATAAGGCTGTGCAATTATTAACCCGTTTTGCAGAGGCAAAAACGGAGGCTCAGCGTGGGGAGCACTTGTCTGTCTCAGCCCGACTCACTGAGCAGTCTGAACTCAGGCACAAGCCTGTGTGCGCGTGTTTGGAGCAGAGGTACAATTGTCTGGGCCACTCCAGGCAAGTCTGAGGAGGCGGTGTTGTGGTCCCTCAAGTGCGGGCATAAAATGGAGGGTGGAGGAAATTAAGAAGTTGTTGGGGGAGGAAGAGGAGGAAGAAGAGGAAGGGGACATGATATGGCATCACGTGGGTGAGACAAGTTGCCCCAGGCGGCTTGGGGAGCATAGGGGTGGCTAGAAGCCAGAGTGCACAGGCTTCCCACAAAGCCTGCGGATGGCACTGTGTACTGACGGGATGGGGTGGCCAGACTGTGCCTCTGTGTGCGTGTGTGCGTGTGTGTGTGCGTGTGCGCGTGTGCGCGCGTGTGTGTGCGAGTGTGCGAGTGTGCGTGTGTGTGCGTGCGTGTGTGTGCGCGTGTGCGTGTGTGTGTGTGCGTGTGCGTGTGTGTGTGTGCGCATGTGCCTGAATGCTTGATCACTTTCACAGAACAGTTAGGGTGTTTAGGAAAGGCGAGAAAACTAAATCAGAATTCATAAGAAGTTAGGGCTGTCTGTGAATGTGCTTTTAGCCCCTTCCTGCATAGATAAGTTCTTGAAGACCAAGGTTGGGTCTTCAAGAGACCTTTGTGTCTCTTGTGATGCATTTCACAAAGAAATGAGGGAAAGGAACTCATTGAAATGTAGTTCAAACCAAAGAAGCCAGGTGTGGTGGTGCATGCCTGTAGCCCCAGTCCTCAGGTTGCGCCAGCTGGAGGATCATGGAGTTGAGGCCAGCCTGGGCTACACAGCGAGACCCTGCCTCAGAAAACAGAAACAACCAAAGCATTTCAGTGTTGTTTGAGGGGTGACGAGTGCATAAAGACCCAAAGTGAGGGAGGGGGTGGTGGCAGGGGGGAGAAATGACCCAAGCGTTGCATGCACATATGAATAATAAAACAATAAAAAAAAATTTAAAAAGAAAAAAAAGACCCAAAGTGAATGTCCACGGGGTCGCTGGACTAGCTTCAGCGTGTCTGCACGGTGGAATATTCCACAGCCATCCTGAAGATAGACCGGCTGACCCTGGAGGATTTTCCACGTTGTGATGCTATCAAGAAATGAAAATGCAGGCAGGTGTCACAGCTTGTGTTTGTAAGGTAAATGTTCGTGGGTTCTCGTTTGTATGTTTGTGTAAGTGTACTCTGTGGGTTTTTTTGTTTTTGTTTTTTTAAGGGTTCCACTTCAGAAAGATGCAGAAAAAGCCTAGTGACCAGTTAATCCAGGACATGTGTCATTAGAGGATAGGAAGGACAGAGCTCTGACACAGGGTGGGGAGCTGTGTGGAGGGTCCAGGTGGAGCCCCTGCACCTTGGGGTTTCAGCCCTGGTTTAAAACAGTTGGTTGTAAGTAAACAACTAAGTGCTCTGTTTTTATAAGTAAGCCTGGGCTTCCTGGGGAAAGGAATGCTCCAAGGTCCATGGTAGGAGAGGTAGCTGCCTTTTTATCAGCATGTGTGCCACTGATTAAAGTGTGTACCCTAGAACAGGCCAGCTCTCTTCGACCTTGGTCTGTGGCAGTCTTGTGTACACTTGGATTTGGGGAGGTTGACTGGTGTGTGATTTCTTAGGCAAGAGGAGCACCGTTTTGCCTGGCATCTCACCCCTGCAAACCAGTGTGGTTAAGGAGTAGCCAGGATGGAGGAGCCTGAGATGATGGGCTCAGAACACGTGTTCTGCAAAGAGAACATGTCTTCAGGGTCATGTGGTCCCCAGGTGTACCCTTACGAGCCTGTTAGGCGTGTGCCCTAGCCTCCCACGTCTGGTGTGATGGAGTCTCCAGGTGGTTGATACACACTCAGTATGAGAATCATCACATTGAGGAGCGGCCTTGCTGAGTCCTGAAGCGGGTCCTGTGAAGCTCAGGTTGACTGTGGTTGCAGGCCTTGTCAGAGCAGCCTCCTGTCCCCTCTGTCCAGAGACTTGGCTCCCACTCTGACTCAGGACCCAGGTGTGGACCTAGGCTGGCAGAGCTGTCCTCTGGTGCTCTGCTCCTCTGGGGCCACAACCCTGGGAAGGTTGTAATCAGGCCTGAGGAGGGTTCCCTGTTGGATTTGGTCCACTCTTGTGGTTGTGTAGGGGGACAGTAAGCCAGAGGTACTTGAAGCCAGGTTAGCCTGGCTGTCCAGCTTCATCTCAACACCCATGCTGGATGCCTCAGGCTGTTTTATCACCAGCCCGAAACACTTGGCCAGCAGTGCTGACCTGCTCCAGCCAGGGGAGCTGTTCTTGGGTCTCACCAGAACTGCACAGTGAAAAATCGAAGCCTGTGCCGGGTATGCAGTAGGCAGAATGGCTCAGCTAGCTTGGACTGACCTATGGGCTGCCACTGCACTAGGAAAGAAAGCTGCCTATGCCCACCAGAGTCCCCTCCTGTAGTCTGCTGGCATCTCTGCAGCCTGTCTTGGTGGGGTGTGCAGAGCCTCTTCAGAACCCTAAACCAGTTCTGATGCTGTAGGCAGCAGAGAGGTTCAGCCAGGTTTGGAGTGGTTCAACACTCATCATGCCACCTTACCGACATGAGTCTCCCCGAGCCCCGAGTGTGATTCTGCGAAGTGGGTTCCTCCTTACCAGGCAGCACTGCTGCTGACTTAAATCGCAGTCTGTGCCAACTCTGGAAGGGCATTCAGCTGCACTTGGATACTTGCTTCCTGTCCTGACCCTCTCCACCAGGAATTCGCATTAGCTACTCTGGCTCCTATGACCCCATTTGCATCAGGAGTCCCTGCAAAGGTAGTTGAGCTCCAGTGTGTGCTTGCATGAGTTAAAACAAGTAGCGAGGCTGGCACCAGGCTGGGAACTTTCAGACCTGCTCCTCCTGCTTCCTGTGACCAGCTGCCTCCTCCAGTGGCCTTGAGTCTTACAAAAGTGTTGCCAAGCCATGACAGCCAGAGCCATGTAGGCTGCAAACCTCGTCACTAGACCTGTTTTCCAACTTGGAGGAGAATGTGCTGGCTGTGTTTGTGTTTCCTGACCAGAGCAGCCTTGACGTCAAGTCACCTGTGCAGTGTGGCACCTTGTGTTTTCTGTTCTGCAGACAGGACACAGTGCTGCCAGTTCTGAGCCGAATTCTGTTGTTGCTTGGGTCTGTAGCACTGAGCATTTCCAGGACGGTCTGCGTGCGTGTTTATTTCCCCCAAAACAGCCTTGTGCCTGGCCATTCCTGCACACCCGTTTACCGAGGAGACCTGGCTCCACTGTGTGCCTCACTTGCCTTGCCCAGTGTCACGTGGCCCTAGTGCAGTGAGGCAGTGAGGCCAAGGCCAGCCCTGACCTCCTGGCACCCAGTGTTCCTCCCATTGTGCGGGGCCACAGTGCTGCGGGGGAGAGGGGAGCAGGCAGAAGACATTGTTTCAGTCGGGCCACTTTCTCTTCCTCATCACCTCCGGGTTTTAGGTAGTGGGGTGCGTTCCTCCTCATGCCGGGATTGCGTCTGAGTGCATTTGAGCATGAGGACCAAAGACCTCTTTGCACAGGACGGTCCGTATTTATCTATCCTTCACATTTGCCATGCCTGACACCTCCCCTGAGCTCTGAATCGCCCCCACTGAAGGACACACACCCTCCTGTTGGAATGTTGGCATCCACTTTAGCTCTGGTCTCAGGAGGGAGACATTAGGAAGGTTTGTGAGATCTGTGTGGAGGCCCTAGTGGTGCTCATTAGTGGAGCTCAGTGACTAACCTCTGTTGCATTTCCACTTCTTTCCTTCCATTCCCTCTACCCTTCCCTTATCTCCAAAAAAAAAAGAGTAGGGACTGATTCTCTTGCCTTTTGTATGTATATATTTATTTAGCAGTGCTGAGGACTGAACCTGCGGCCCTCGCTCATGCTAGACAAGTGCTCTGTGTATACTGAGCCCCAGCCCCAGCCCCAATTCTCTTCTTAGGGTTGGGCGATTCTGCATTGTTAACGACAGTGGTCTGGGGTGTTCTGCAGTTTCCCCAGATGCTGCCACAGGCCTGGAGGCTTCCAGATGAGCTTTGTGAAAACCACCACTCAACAGAGCTTGTTGGTTGGGGCTCTTACAGGCATGGTGCAGTGCTGTGACTTGTCCCCATGTTGAGAGTGTGAGTGTGCTTAGCCTGCTGGCTTTGAGTCCTACCGAAGTCACTGTTCATTTATTAATGGGGAAAATAACAGTGACACCATCTAGGCTGTTGTAAAGAGCGAATGCTTAGAGAAAGCATAACTTCATGACTTAAACCATGAACTAGGTGTCCTTGTCTTGTTTAGTGGTTTTGTATTCAGGGACCAATTAATGATAGAAGGGATTGTAAGGGGCTGGGATGTGGCTCAGTGGTAGAGCTTTGCCTAGTGCGCTCGAGGCTTGGGTTCTGTCCCTAGCACTGGGAAAAAAGTCTGAGGCTTAAATCCAAAATCTGAACAGTTCAATCTGTTGGCTACATGGGAAGTTCCTTCAAAAAAAAGCAGGTTTGACTTGTCAAAGTACGTGTTTTTGAAAACTAGCTTGTTCTTGAAAATAAATCATATAAGTAAGTTATTTGAAGTATGCCTTGAAAATATGGAAGGAGAGTTTGGGAGGGATCCAGCTGACCCGGGAAGGCCTGGCTGCAGTGCGTGTCTGAAAAATAAGAGGAAACAGACATTTTTAACGTTACCTTTGGGTGCTTCAGTTGTAACTTAATTAATCTTTATTTACTTTTAACAAACAGATTGTTACTAGGAAAAACTCAAGACAATTTAGCCAGCTTGCAGTTCTTTCTTGGTCCCTTAAAATACTAAGAAACAAGCCATAAATCTGGCTTGTTTTAGTGTAGAACCTGGCGTGGACACGGTGGTGTTTAACCTTAGCTGTACTTGCCAAAATATGATCGTCTCCATTAAGCAGTTGGGCTCGAGCACACGCTTTCACCATGGACAGGAGTTTTGAGGCATTGGCTCACAGGGACTGATCTTGGGGACTTTGTCCGCAGCAGCGTGTGCCGTGCCACCATGGATGCCCAGCACTCACTGTGCTCTTCCTGTTTGCAGTGATTTGGCCCTGCGGAATTGTTTTCTGACCTCTGACTTAAACGTGAAGGTGGGCGACTATGGGATAGGATTCAGCAGGTACAAGGTGAGCCCAAGGCTGAGCTGCCGTCTCCTTCATCCAGCTTAATTTCAGTTCGGGAGTTGTAGCCCAGAACACCATACCATTTGCTTTCGGAAGAGAAGGCAAGAGTCCTGGCGATGGTGACTGTGGCCTTTCGTGGGTGGGGTTTGCTGCAGTCACCTTAACGGTTCTGCTATCTTCCAGGGTGTGGCTTTGTACTGAGGTTCCGTGACAGCTTTCCCAGTGCTTTATTTTAAAAGATTTCTACTTAGTACAATTGATACAGTCTGATCAATAAATCTTAGAACAGTATGGGGCAGAAATAATTTTCACCTGTGTAACAAAGCACACATCATACAGCCATTTCCCCACGACATGGCCAGTAAATCTAAGCTTACATTCAGTGGGCTTGATTCAGGTTTTTTAGCTCTGTCATAAAAGTGCCCCTAAGAAAATAAGCAGATAAATAGATGAGGTGTCCACTGGGGTGTGTGCATATGGCCCAGCTGAGTAAGGTGGCCGAGGTGGGGTGGGGAATGAGATGGTCACAGCGTGAGGATTGTGTCTGTTCTGTCTTTTGGGGTTCTTGCTAAGATCAAGATAATAAAATCTGTGAGGACCATTTGCCAAAACATGGTTTACAGACACAGGTTGGTTGTTCGTCTGCATAGTGAGTAACTCTGGTATACCACACACTACAAAGTGTTCCATCATTACTCCATCATGGTAGGCAGGTTTGTGTAATTCTCATTTTCAGCTAAGGAAAAAGGCTCCCAGGGTCTGTCGCTTTCCCAGTCACATCTCAGTAAATGGTGGCCCAGGCCTGCCCTCAGACCCTAAGCCTGTGTTTTAACCAGGACAGCCACCTCCCCAGAGCAGAACGCCCATGTGTGCTGAAAGGTGTTTTGTCAGGCTCAGGCCCCACACATGTCCCTCCCTTTTCCAGGAAGAGTGACAGAGCCCAGCTCTGGATGCCTAGGAGCCTCCAGAGAAGTATCTCTCCCTTCCTTCACTTTTCTCCCTGATGTGATTAGGGCTGGGTATATGTTTTCTGAGGATGTCTGGAATGAAATCATTGTGCTCACCATCAGTGCAGTTCCATTGACAGTGCAGTGTGCTTTCTGACAGGAGGATTACATTGAGACAGATGATAAAAAGGTTTTCCCTCTGCGATGGACTGCTCCAGAATTAGTAACCAGCTTTCAAGACCGACTGCTCACTGCAGACCAAACTAAGTACAGCAATATCTGGTATGTATCTGGTTTACCATCTTAACTAGGTTTTTGTTTAGCAAGGGCCCAACCCCCTTCTCTTTGAGTAGGAAAGTAATTATGTAAGATGCAGGAAGCACAAAGAGTGCCTGGCATGTGAGAAAGGGACCTTCCTTACCCCTAGCTGTGGTCACAACTGCAGTGATGTGATTGGCTTTTTCATTACTGCCTGTCTTACCACTGTCCTGCATAAAAGCCGGAACCAAGTCTGTTTTATGTTCTGTGCCTACCATAGGGCCTGGCATACAATAGATGCTCAGTAAACATTTGTAGACATGAATGAAAAAAACGAAAGGGCTTCAGACGATGATACAACGCTGTGGTTTATAAAGGTTTTAATGGATGCCAAAGAGATGTGTCTGAATTTTTGACTTAACAATTTGTATCAGTTTTAACTGTGGTTTCCTGTTTTTTCTGTTTTCCTTCTCTCTTTTTGCCTCCATTTGGATAGATTTTTTTTTAACTCTTTTTTCTTTGTAGTTTGGGAGCTGCATGCCAAACATTTTTATTGGTTGTCTTCAAAATGACAGTGTCCACATCCTTACCTGATCTAATATTTCTTAACTGTCCTGAGCAGCACAAGGACCTTAGGCTCCTTGAGCTGCGTTTACCTGTATACCACATGCATACACAGTTGTGTCACTGTGGGCATTTTAACTTTTTCTTTCACCCTACAAGACATTAAATTTGTTTAACATGGGTGTTTGTTTAGATTTATCTATGTAACAAAACACTTTCCTTTTTTTATGTCCCTCTAAAGATTGTCCTCCTCCTTTCATTAGTAGGGGTCTGCTGGTGACAGGCTGCTTTTGTAGGTCAGAACATACTTGACTTGTCCCTGTTGGGACGCGTTTGTGCTGGATAACAGGTCCTCTCAGCACTTGACGCCACCACTGCACTGCAGTGGCTTCTGGCTTCTTGTTGCCTTAGGGAAGTCCGCTGTCAGTCTGCCTGAGCTCTGAGAAGGTAACTGACCTTTCCCTCTGCCTCCTGTTAAAATCCCTGTCACTGTAATGTCTGTGAGTGTGGATTTGCGTTTCTTGGCTTGGAATTTATCTGGTTTTCCAAATCTATAGCTTGGTGCTGTTCAGTAGTTCATTAGTTACCCTTTAAACGTTGTCTCTGTCCTGCGTTTTGTCCTGCGGAAGTGTGGTTGAGCACGTGGCTCTCGCTTCTTGCTCTGTCTTCTGTCATTTCATCCCTCTGTGTTCTGTCTTTGGATTCTCTGGGCCACGTTCTAAGTACTTTCAGACCTGTGTGCCGGCCAGAGCCTCTCTTTTTAAAAATTCTCTCTTCAGTTGTGTGCATCTTCAGTGAAAACTCAATGCTAAGTTTTGTAGTTCAGGTTTTGGTTTTTATAGTTGGATCATGATGTCCAGTGACTGAAGTCTTGATCCTCCTGGGTCTTGATGGCGCCTTGTTTCTGCTCCTTGGAAACGTAGACAGAGACACAGCCCCGCAGAGGACCTGGGTTTGCTCCTGCTGGCACCTGGGTGTCCTGCCTCACACCAGGTCTGCCACTTGGCCAGTGCTTTGCAGTCACATTTGGTTTTTTTTTTTTTTTTTTTTTTTTGTGGTAGTGGGACTCAGGACATTCACCTCAAGCCACTCTGCCAGCCCTTTTTTGTGATGAGTTTTTTTCGAGATAGGGTCTTGGGAATTATTTGCCTGAGCTGGCTTTCATCCTCGATCCTCCTGATCTGTGCTGGGATTACAGGTATGAGCCACCGGCTCCTGGCTCAGTTTGAGGTTTTTTTGGATCACTGAAATGATGTGACTCTAGACCACAAATCCAGGTAAAGACCATCTCTGCAGCTCCCTTGCAGACACACCACACACACACACACACTCTCTCTCTCTCTCTCTCTCTCTCTCTCTCTCTCTCACTCACTCTCTTCCTCCCTCTCTTCCTCCCTCTCTCCCTGCCCTCATGCCATGACAGCCTCATGCCATGGAAGGAGGGTTTATTCCTGCCTTTAAGGGGTCACTTTGAGAGACCCCTTACTTTGGGCAGGCCCAGGGCTTCAGTCTGACCCACGCTGGCACCCCCAAAGCCTTGGAAACCACAGACAGAAGCCTAGAGCTTCAGCAGATGCCCACAGTCGAGGTTGCTTCCATTTCTGTGTACTACTTGGATCTGTGAGTGCAGGACCTTGCCCTGGAAATTCCTGCATTCTCCCCACTCCTGGATGCCTTTACGAAGATGCTTTCTGTGCTTCCCTCAGTGTTTTTATTGTACCACAGTTGTGTTCCCCGAGACTGCCAGCCTTCAATCCTGACAGTGGGAGCAATTGCTGGTGGCTGTGCTGGTCCTGCCAGGAGCAGAAGCCACACTGCTCATACCAGAGTGAATGAGAAGGACCTTGCACACAGTTTGGGGTGGAGATCAGGGAGAGCTACAGGGAGCTTTTCTTTCCATAAGAAGGAGGCTCAATGGTGCTAGTGGAGCTGGGAAGCCATTGCTTCCTGCCCTGTAAAGGGGGTAGTGGCAGCCTGAGGGAGTTTGGCTTTGCAGTGGGCCTTACTGGGAAAGGGGGAAGTGAGGAAAAGTAGGGATTTGGAGAAACTGACGCAGATAGACAGGTTTGCTCACGGTCTAACCAGGCTTGTGGTGGTACAACTCACTTTGCCATTAGAACAGCTTTTGGCTTTCAGTGTTTCACGTGAGTTTCTTTTCCAGTTAAATTTTGAATCTTCCAGGGTCATTGACTGCACCTTAAACTCCTTTTGCGCACACTGCTCATCCACCCTAACAGTGGTGTTCCTGGGAGGGCACACTGCTTCTGGACTGGATTGGGAGGTTTGGGCCCTTCTGTTCCTTGGACAGAAAGGATCTCTCAACTCAGATACTGAATATGCTGATGGTTTTCAATCTTGTCAAAGCAACGTAAGAAAATTTAAACTTGTATTGCCTAATGTCAAGTGAACTTCTCAGTGCTGTTATTACTCAAGCATCCAGTAGGTGACACCCACAACAGCCCACAAACCAGTGACACCCAGATTTGCAGAGTCACAGGACTAGGGAGTTATCCTCGTGTGGATCCTAAGTGTGAGCATGCGGTCCAAAGCTTCCCAGAGGACACGTGTATCACCATATAAGATAGTAGGAGGGAGGAGGGGGTAAGAAAAGGGCGTCATTGGACCTGAGCATCTGCACTGGGGCTTGAGAGCAAGTTGGGCAGGACTGAGAAGGGACGTCCCACTGGGTGACACAGACTAGAGACCTCTTGTGGTACCAGACCACTGGCAAACCCTGGTGTAGTACTGCGAAATAAGCAAAGCACGTGCAGCCTGGTGGGAGGGGACATGTGCTCGAGTGGTTTCTTCAAGATGCTGTCTGCTGGTCACAAATGTTGCAGGTGACATTTTCTCTACCTCAGAACTCAGGACATAAACTGTCTCCAGCTATTTTGCCAAGTTCTTAAAACATTCTAATGACTTTTCAACTAATTCTTGAATTTTTATAGTCAACAGTGTTAGGACTCAGCCCTTTAGTCAGACCTGTCAGCTGCCTGGCATTTTTTTGCATGGCCCAAACCTCCTAGAGTAGTTGTGTAATAAATGTAAGAAGGCGTTGTCGTCGTCCTCCCTTTTTATTTATGTGTGTCTGTTTTCAGCCGCAGTGGGGTTTGAACTCGGTGCTTCCACTTGCTAGATAAGCGTCTGTCACCCGAACCACACCCTTAGTTGAGTGGAAATGCCCCTTTTTGCTCTTTCAATGTTGATAAGTGGTTTGGGAGCTGTTTTATCATATTAGCTGTTTCGTTACTGATGGCTTACTCAGCGTGTGCCTTTGTCCTGAAATGACTGACTGTGCAAATGCAAAGCAGAGAGAAGTAAGCAGTCTCTGTTCCCCACAGGTCACTGGGCGTGACACTCTGGGAGCTCTTTGACAATGCTGCCCAGCCGTACGCAGACCTTTCGGACCTGGATGTTCTTAATCAGGTCATCAGAGAGAGGGACACGAAGCTGCCAAAGCCCCGGCTGGAGCAGTCCTACTCCGACAGATGGTCAGTAGCTTCTCGGCGTGCTGGCTTCAGAGACGGGACCACCAGAAAGCAGGCCGTTACTTATTGCATTACTCATGGCCAATTTTAGGAGAAACGTCTTTTTAAAATTGTATCTTTGAAAAACTTAAATAACGAGTAGGAATTTATGGTTTACATGAGAGAAACATGGATAATTTAAAAAATTATGATCAGATTGGTAATGGGAACGAATTTACACAACGCTTACTGACGTGAAACCTGTCTGTTTACTCGGTAGTCTTTGGACCGGTTCTTGCTCCATTTCCACCTAGGGTCAGACTGCTATCTACACCGTTGGGTGCCCAGTGTTGGCATCTTGGAAGTTTGGCTGCCCTGTATTTAGGCAGTGCTTGCCTCCCTAAGTTCTAGAACTGTTCCTCTCACGACACCTTGACATATTCTCTGAGAACTTCACACTGTCAAGTCGCCTTTGTCTTCTGCTTCTGGCTGTAGTGTAGCTTGTTGCAGTAGTCAGCAGCCCGTCAAAAAGCCAGCTTCCGTCACCCTCTCCAGCTCCTTATGTAATCATAGATGCATTTCCTACTAAAGAGTTATGTGCAGAGGAGAGCGTGGCAGAACCATTGCCGGGTTCAGTGGCCTAATTAATCCTGGATACTTGGGAGGTAGATTTAGGAGGGTCATGGCATGAGGCCAGCTCAAGGAAAAAAGTTCGCGATCTTTGCTCCCATTTCCTGCATGGGGGACAGGAAATACAGATAAGTCCTTGCTGAAACTTCAAAAAAAAAAGCTAGTAAGCCCCTATCTCAAAAACAAGCTGGGCATGGTGGCTCACACCTATAATCCTAGCTACTCAGGAGGTGGAGGTGGAGGTAGGAAGGTCTCAGTCTAAGGCCAGCTCTATGCCAAAGCACAAGACCCTATCTAGAAAATAAGCTAAAGCAAAAAGGGCTGGGCGAGGCTCAAGCGATGGAGCACTTACCTAGCAAGTGTGAGGCCCTGAGTTCAAACCCCACTACCACCAAAAAAAGTAAGATAAGAAAATGAGAAAGAAATTCAGTAGCCAAGTCATTGCATGAACACCGGAGAACAAATTACCAAGCAAACGAATTGCAGTTGGATACTGTAGAAAAATGGGCCAAATGTGACATTTCTCATATTTCCCCTTTCCCCACACTGTCACCATGAACTGTCATGGCCTTCAGGTCGTGCTTGTGGTGAGAAGTTTTGGGTGCTGTTGTCTCTGGAGTAAAATCTGTCTTACTTTATTAGTGTTCTACTAACTCCCTGTTGTGTGCTCAGGTATGAAGTGTTGCAGTTCTGCTGGCTGTCGCCAGACAAGAGGCCAGCTGCGGAAGATGTGCACAGGCTGCTGACCTACCTGCGGACGCAGAGTCAGCGCGTCTCAGAAGTGGATTTCGAGCAGCAGTGGAATGCGCTCAAGCCAAGCGCCAACAGCACTTCAAGTAGCGCTGCCTTCCCAATCCTCGACCACTTTGCCAGGGACCGGCTGGGTCGTGAGATGGAAGAGATCCTCACGGTGACCGAGACAAGTCAGGGGCTGAGCTTCGAGTACATCTGGGAGGCCGCCAAGCACGACCATTTTGATGAGGGCTGCCGCGGCCACCCAGACGAAGGCTTGTCCTATTCCAGCATGTTCTTCCCAGTTGAAGTATTCGAGAGTTCCCTTTCGGATTCTGGGCCAGGAAAGCAGGATGACAGTGGCCAAGATGTCCCACTGCAGGTCCCCGGAGTGGTTCCTGTGTTTGATGCCCACAACCTTTCTGTTGGAAGCGACTATTATATCCAGTTAGAGGAGAAAAGTGGGAGCAACCTGGAGCTAGATTATCCCCCGGTCCTGCTCACAACGGAGATGGGAGATCCTGAGAGGGTGGGAGCCGAGGTGCTCCAGGGGAGTGCCCCCAGGCACCTGGAGCTGGAGGAGCCCAGCACAGATGAGGATTTCTTCCAGAGTGGCACGGACCCCAAGGAGGCTGGTGGAGCTGAGGACTTGCCTATAACCAGTGGCCCGGAGAGCCCTTTCAATAGCATATTCAGTGATCTCGACAAAGTGGAGGATTTGCCCGGTCACCAAAAAATATTCGACTTAATGGAGCTAAATGGACTTCAAGCCGACTTCAGGCCAGCCATCTTAAGTTCAAGTTTAGATGACCCCAAAGACACTTGTCACTCTGACAAAGAAAAGCCCCATAAGCTTTTTGAGCATGCGCCTGTCTGCTTATCAGAAAGCCTTCTGCCCCAAGACCACCTTGATCCATTGAACGTTCAAGAGCTGTCTGATAACTTCCTATTCCTTCGCGAGAGAAACTTGCTGATGGGCTCACTCTCTCGCAAGGAGCCCGTAGACAATCTTCAGACAGAACTGAGGAACGCTGGCTTCATTGGGGCCGTAGTAGAGATGGCACGGACGGACTTTCTGGACGCCGAGCGTGCGCCCAGTGCAGCGGGCTCTCCTGCCTCACAGAGCGGATGCGCCAAGGGCCAAGCTGCAGGTGTCACGGTCAAGGGTGATGTTTGGAGCACCTCGGTGCAGTCTTCCCCGAAAGTGCAGGTACCTCCTACCTCACTCTTAGCAGAAGAAACACCTCCTGCTGAACCCCCAGACTCAATTCTGAGGCCAGAGGCAACCAAGTCCGTGAGCTTAGATGTCAGCATCCCCGAGGACTGCCTCTGTCAGGACCTGAGGCCAGATGCCGTTACCACCCCAACTGAAATTCCCTCCACGGATGCCAAAACCCGCGGCGGGGACGACAGTCCCCCAGACTGGGCTTGCCAAAGTGAGGAGGCCTTGAGACCGAGCAAAAGGGACTCTGCTCCCGTGGGTGATGCTTTCATGGGTCAGGGGAGCACAGGGAGTGGTCTTCCAGAATTGACGCAGAACTTAAAAAATCAGCCGCTTCCAGAGGAACATCATGGCAGCAGTCTGCTGGAGAAAAGCATGGATGCCGTGGAGACTTTAAACCAGCTCAGTTGTAAAGATGCCACAAAAGACGTGGGCTTGGCGTCTGCCCTGTCCTCAGACTCTACGAGCCAGGACAGCCTCTTGGAGGACAGCTTGTCCCCAGCCCTCCCCACCCCCGAGCAGTCACTGGAGACCCCGGACTCCATGGACTCCGTGGACGTCCATGAGGTGCTGCTGGAGTCGCTGGGCTCCCACGCCTCTCAGAAACTCCTGCCCCCCGATAAGCCAGCAGACAGCGGCTACGAGACGGAGAACCTGGAGTCCCCTGAGTGGACCCTGCACCCCACCCCCGAGGGCCCTTCAGACTCAGCCTCGGCTGCGGCAGGGGACGGTGGGCATAGCAGTGTGCCTCCCAACCCAGTCATTGTCATCTCAGATGCAGGTGACGGCCACAGAGGTGCAGATGGCACCCCACAGACCTTTATCCCCGGCACTCAGAGTTCATATCGAGACTCTGCCTACTTCTCAGACAATGACTCAGAGCCAGATAAAAAGCCTGAAGAGGTCCCTGGAACCTCAGCATTGGCAGAGGGCCAGCCCCTGCCCAAGCCAGGCACCCTGGAGGAAGGCCCTGATGCCAAAGACAGCTGCCTGGAGACTCAGCAGAGCCAGCCCGATCCAGGTTGCCCATCTGCTTTACCAAATTCCAGTCACCTGGAATTAGAGGAAGCGTTGGAGTCAGCGGTGGCTGACAATTTCAGACAGTCGCAAGCTGTGGAGGATGAGGCTGGCAGCACCTTGGTCTTGGTGAACTCGGAGCTCAGCAGTGGTGATGACTTGGAGACCCACGAGGATCACCCTTGCACCCTCGCCTCCACGGGGACTAACACCAATGAGCTCCTCGCCTACACCGGCTCCGCGGTGGACAAGTCCTCGTCTGGCCACACCGAGGCTCCCAGGCTAAAGGAGCCAGATATCGAGGGAAAGTACCTGGGCAAGCTTGGGGTGTCTGGGATGCTCGACCTCTCTGAGGACGGGATGGATGCTGACGAGGAAGACGAAAACAGTGATGACTCGGACGATGACCTGCGGGCCTTCAACCTGCACAGCCTCAGCTCCGAGTCGGAGGATGACACAGAGCACGCAGTGCCCGTGATCCTCAGCAATGCTGACGACAGCCGGCATCTGCGGAGCCTGTTGAAGCCCGTGGCCGCTGACTGGAGGAAGGAGAAGAAGGCAGTAACCTTCTTTGATGATGTCACAGTCTACCTGTTTGACCAGGTATCTGTTCCCTTCAGAGTGCTGACAGCACATGCTGACAGAGAATGTGGTCTGGCCATAGTGCTGTCATTTGAGGCGGCAGCCACTGACTAGACAGAGTGACGGGAGTTGGTTACAGTTCAGTTCCCAGAACAGGGAATTAATTCATCCTCAGTTGAGGGAAGGAGATAGGATGCCCTTCTACTGAAATCAGTCCCTCTGCAGACCACGTGACAGCGGTGCAGCCCAAACTGTCACTCTTGCAGCCCCTGAGGGTGTGACGCATGGACAGCAAGACCCCTGTGGCCTTTCTGCTCCAACCTCTGCCTTGTCCCTTTTACCTGCTTCGGAAGAGCCTGTGTAGTGTGCTCTGCTCAGCAGGCACAGTCTTGGGCTCCTTGAAAAATGGAACTGCAGGGGGCTGGTGGCTCATGTCTGTAATCTGAGCTACTCAGGAGGCAGAGATCAGGGGAATCAACATTCAAAGCCAGCCCGGGCAGATAGTTCACGAGACCCTGTCTCAAAAATACCCAACACAAAAAAGGCCTGGTTGAGTGGTTCAAGGTGTAGATCCTAAGTTCAAAGCCCAGTACTACACACACACAAAAAAAGAAAAGAAAAATGATCAACTTATAACTAGAGCATTTTTTTAAAGTTTTTTTTTTTTTGGTGGGACTAGGGTTTGAACTCGGAGCTTTGCACTTACAAAGCAGTTGCTCCACCACTTGAGCCACACCTGCAGTCCCTTTTACTTTTGATATTTTGGAGATGGGGTCTTGAGAACTGTTTGCCTGGGCTGGCCTTGAAACATGATCCTCCAGATCTCAGCCTCCCAAATATCGAGGATTACATTTTTTTTTTTTTTTGGCATTGCTGAGGATTGAACCCGGCACGTGTGTCTAGCTATTTCCCCAGCCCTTGGTTTTTTGAGACAGGGTCTCCCTATTGTAGCCTAGGCTTGCCTTGAACTCCGAATCCTTCTGCCTCTGCCTTCTGAGTGCTTGGAACACAAGCATGAACCACAGCACCCAGCACTGAATTTGCTTCTAGAGTCAGCTGGGTTGTCATTAAGCTCTGTCCCACCACATTCCAGATGGCGCAGGGTCCTTGGCATCTCTGTCATGTTGCTTCCCTCCCCTTTTTGCTTAGTCTCCGAGCCAAACCCTTGGCAGCCTCTGGACCTGTGTGAAGCACTGTCTCCCTCTTGGGCCCACAGTGGAGGCCTTCAAGGCCCTGTTCCCCCTCTTCCTTTGGGAGCTGCATCTTCCTTTCTGTTGCATGTTACTTTATACTGTGGTCATTTTTGCTCTTCTGATGTTTCTTAAAAGCTCGTCAAACCCTATGCATTTGAACTACAACGTGTTGGAGAGAGGTGGATGGTTAAGGCGGCAAACCAGCTTCCTGAATCTGAGTCTGCAGGAGGGCAGGAAACTGGCTCCCTCTGCTCCTTCCTGGTGGTTCTCTCTCACTTCTGATCTCCAGGGTCACCTGTGCGCCAGGGAGCCCAGGAGACTGGGTGCTCTTTCCTACTGAGAGGAGAAGGGAAGGAATTGAGACGAGGCGGGACGGAATTGCAGGGTCTGTTTTGTGTAGTTGGTTTGGGTTTTTGTGGGACTTTTGGCACTGCCTTTGGCTTGTGTGTTGGGAATGATGGCCTCAGGAAATGGGAAAGAGAAGTGTTTTCTCCTCTGAATTTCTGGAAGAGATTGCACGCATTTGTTGTCTTTCTTGGTTTATTGTTTTTGGATGTACTTAACCTTTTCTCTTTTTTTTTCCCCCCTAGATTTTTAAGGTAAAAGCTTGGAATTTGAGCCTTTCTTCTTGTCTAAGTTCTTAACTGCTATGAATCCACCTCTGTGTAGCACCTTAGCTGTATCCCACAAATTTTCATTTGTTGTGTTTTCATTTTCATGGAGTTCAGATTTTTTTTCTAGTGTTCTTTACCATTCCTCTTTGACTCATGAATTATTTATAAGCATATTGTTTAATTTCTTAGGGTTGGAGATTTTCTTGTCTCCAACATTGACTTCTGGTCTAATTCCATTGTGCTCAGAGAAAATGTTTTGAGTGGTTTCAGCTCTTCATTTGTGGATGCGGTCTGTCTTAGTGCATCACACACACACCTCAGTAAGGTACATTCTGGTTTTGGTGGGTGATTATTGATCTGCAAGTGTCAGATCTAGTTTCTTGATAGTACTGTTCAGTTCTTCTGTGTTGCCGCAAGTTTTTTCTCTTAGAGAAAATCATTGATGTCTGGTGTAATGGGAGTTCTGTCCATTTTTCTGTGTTTCTGTCAGTTTGGGCTTCTGTTAGGTGCAGGCAGGTACATTTGTTAGGATGACTGTGTCTTGGTGAATTGGCCTTTCTGTCATTCTGTGATACCACTCATTTCTTTTTTCTGATATTCATGTACCAGTCTGGCTTCTTGGTGAGTGTTAGTGTGCTGGGTCTTTTTACCCGTGTATTTTTGATCTGTCTGCATCACATTTGATGTGAGTTTAATTTTTAGTTCATTTAAGTTTATTTTTAATTGAAACATAAAAGCAAAAAATTGTACAGATCTGGGCACCCCGTGATGTTTGGATCATGCATATGTTGTGTAATGTTTAAGTCAGGGTAAAGGTCTACCTACTCAAACCTGCACAATTTCTCTACCAGGAGAAATGGTAGAGATGGGACTGCGTCTGCAGTCCTCCCATCTTGCTCTGCAGTGTTCGAGTTATCGGTGTCACAGTTGCCTTGCTATGCAGCTGGGCACCGCCTTGCACTTAGTGCATCCATCAGCCTTTCCCTGTCCACCCCTCCCCAAAGAGGGCAGGGGAGGGTTGTTTGTAAAATCTCTTCTGAAAGTGCGCCTCGAATGAATGGTGCTTTTAGACCACTTCCATGAGCAGGGTGACACGTGCCATTTTGTTCTGTGCTTCTGCTGCTTCTCCTCTGTCCTTCCTTTTGTGTGACTGAGCAACAGTTGTTGGGTTGCATTTCAGGCGACCTGTTGTCTTCACTGCGTATCTGCTCCTTGCCGTAGTCAGGAGAACGGTTGCTCTGGGTTTCATTGTGCATACTTCACCCACAGCCTGCTGGGGGCACATGCTTTACTTCCCACTGCCCAGGCCACTGCCCTCCCTCCTGTCCTGACGTCATCTGTGTGTCACACCCACACCCATTAAAACCCACCCGGCAGGGCAGTGTGTATCACTTTGAATCATCAAGCATATTTGCAGAACCTCGAGAAGCCAGACGGTTCATACTCACCCAGGGAGTCACGCTCCTGTTCCTTTTTCTTAATCAGGGCCGGGATCCCCCCTGTGTTGTTTCCTTTCCAGCAGGAGAGGTTTGTTCAGCTTGTCTCTTTCCTTCTCATCTTTTTTTTTTCCCCTAAATCCACTGACCAAAAATTCTTTTCATCTCTCTTCATCTCACCCTGTCTCCTGAACAATATTTTCTCTGAATATAGAGTTCTGAGGTGACAGTTCTTTTCTTCCAGCATTTAAAAAATGTCACTTCCAGCTGGGGGTGTAGCTCAGTGGCAGAGGATTTGCCCTGCTGGGTTGCATCAGACAGACCTGCCAGATGAAGAAGTGTCGCTGCCTCCCGGCCTTCAGTTTCTCACGAGAAGTTTGTGGTTGCTTGGGTCTTTGTCCCCTGTAAGAATATCTTCTCTCTAGCTGCTTTCAGGACATTTCGTCTTCAGCGTGATGTGTCCGGGTGGGTGTGGGTTTCTGTGTGCTTACCCATTCAGGTCCGCAGAGGGCTGGGATCTGTTGCTGTCTCACCACCCTGGAGAGTGTTCAGCCGGCATTTCTTCCATGGCTTCCTCTCCTAGAACACCTCCGTAGGCCTTCTGGTGTCACCCACAGGTGCTCTGCTCCTTTCATTCCCTTGACATTTTCCTTGATGCTGGCTGGATTAAATTCTACTCTATCTCAAGCTCACGGGTTCTCTCGCCATCGTCCAGTGACTTCTGGATTCCATTGGTCTGTTCTGAAATTAGCCTTCTGTCATTTCGTTTTATTCGGGTAGGAGCCTTTTTTTCTTTTTCAATGCTGGGGATGAACCCGGGGCCTCACCCATGCTGGGCGAGTCCTGTGTCACTGAGCCACACCTCCAGGCCCAGCACTTTTTAGTCTTTTTCCACATAATTCAAACTCCTGTGTCCTCTTGGCTTTGTGCCTGTTGTCATTTCCTGTGAGTTGAGGTTTTCTGGTTCCTTGGCCACTGGGTACTGTGTACTCGTGTAGTATCACAGGAGTCTGTGTCAGTGTTCAAGTTTGTGGAGCTTGTGGCTATTTTTGTCTCCCACGTGTCCCCCAGCTGGGTTCAGTCCACAAGCTGCACTCAGCTTTCTGGAGGCTGTGGTTTCACTGGTGTTAGTTCCCCTTTGAGGCCTCTGTCCCCCACCACCACCTCACAGGAGCCCTGTGTGGCTTCCCCTGAAGTTCAATTTTCAGAGCTTTGGTGCCTTGTGTGGAGTCATGTCAAGGGTAGGCCAGGAGCTTCTCAGCAGCTTTCCTGAGCCCCTGTGACCCCAGTTCCCAAGGCCTCCCCTGCTAAACCTCCACCCAGAGTCAGGCTTTGATTCCCACACTGTGCGGCACACCAGGCAGTGGAAGACAGAGAACAGAACCCAAGTCCCCTCGGCCGCCAGGGCAGAGGACGCTTCACTTCCCTCAGGATCTCAGGCCCTGGGCATCTAGGATCTCATGAGGATGCAGGGTCTGAACAGGGACAAAGCAAGAAAGGAACCTGGGGTCTCCTGCACTCTCTCAGCTTCAGAACCCCCTTACTCTCCTGGACCAGAACCAGAGACTTCCCCTGGGGCTCTGTAGGCCCAGACCAGAGCTGTCACAGGGAACTTGGCTCGTTGGGTGGTGTTTCCTTCTCACGTGTCCTCCACAGGTGAGGAAGCTGCATGCAGAGGGAGAGAGGCAGGATGTCTGTCGGTCCACCCAACCAGCACCAGAACCAGCCTGTTTTAAGACATGTACCTTGGACAAAGTGTGTCTCTGTTCGTTTCTTTAAAAACCAAAAAAAGGTGCCTCATAGTGCAGTTGATGGGCCTGACACACCTGCCAGCCCATGTGTGTCACTGTGTCACACCAGTGGCTTTATGGGAGCAGGCTGACTGACGGGACTTCCTGCTTGGCTTTCCAGGAGACCCCGACCAAAGAGCTGGGACCCTGTGGAGGAGACGCGCATGGCCCCGGGCCCAGCAGCCCCGCTGTGCCCTCAGGCTCGCCCTACCTGAGCAGGTGCATGAACTCTGAGAGCTCCACAGATGAAGAAGGTACCCACCTCAGTGACCCACCTGAATGAAGGGACTCAGAGGCCTGGAGGCTGGGCTGGGAGGAGGGCATCGCCTGTTACTTAAAATGCCCGCCTCCAGGGCAGCACACCTGTGCCCAGCCCTCCCGGCCTTATCGTGGAGTGATAACAGGCGGGTGTCTGCTTGCAGGTGGCGGCTTTGAGTGGGATGATGACTTCTCCCCAGACCCTTTCATGTCCAGGGCCACAAGCAGTCTCCTGGGCACCCAGCCGGCTCTTCAAGCCTCCAAGTACTTCTCCCCACCGCCCCCCACCCGGAGCACCGAGCAGAGCTGGGCACATGCGTCACCCTGCTCCCGCTTCTCCATCTCCCCCGCCAACATCGCCAGCTTCTCCCTCACGCACCTCACCGACTCGGACATGGAGCAAGGAGGTGAGAGGCACCCTCGGGAGTGGGGGCAGCTGCGGTGTTGAGCTGACGCTGTTATTCTTTGGTGTAGATTTTACATCTGTTATAGAACGCAGTGTTAACAGTGTGCTTGGCCACGACCCTGCTTGTAGGGTCACTGGAGGGCACGTGACCGATTTGTCCTTATGGCCTGGCTCTGCCTCATCTCCTCCTCCTGTCCCCCTTTTGCTGCTGACCCTCCTCCACCACTGTCCCTTCTGAGGCCCTTGCTACTTGGCCCCTGCCTGGGCCGCTGGAGTCACGCCAGGGGCTGACTCGTGTTGATTTTGCCATTAGGCCCTGGTCTCAGGTGATAGCCAAGGGCCTGGGGGACCGGCAGGCAGCATCTGAGCACATGGGCCCTTCTCCCGCACCTAGACTGGAAGATAAAAATGTGCGATCAGGCACACTGTTCTATTTGAAGTTTACAGATCAAATATAAAGGGAAAACATGAAGAGTTCTCGCCGTGTTTGCACGGCTGCCCTTGTGCCCAGCCATCTGCCAGGGCAGCCGTGTGGGCTGTACCCCTAGTGTGGCCATGGGAGCTGTGCAGCTGTGCGTGGGGCCATGGGCCCCAGCTGTGCTTCCCACCCCACAGTGCTCAGATACAAGAGTAACTGCTGTGTCCTGTCACCCTCCTCCACAGGCAGCAGTGAAGACGGAGAAAAGGACTAGGTAGCCCCGGTGCTATCCTGTGTGAGCCCAAGCAGCAGCGTCTCTCCCCGGTGGCTGATGGGAGACTGTGAGGACGACTCGAGGTGAAGGGGAGTCATTGCCATGCCAGGCAGCTGACCTCCCTGTGGCCGCACCCTCTCCATCTGTCCCTCACACACTTGAAGTGCCCATGTGCTGGGAGCCCTGTGCACCAGGGTGGTGTCCTCTGGTCTGGGCACAGGTGGCACAGAGCAGGCCCTGGAGATGGTCACCAGTGAGTCATATTTATTGTTTTGAAAGCCGTGACTACTTGCTGTCTGAATTGCACTGTGGACAAGCCTTCCAGGAGTCCCGAGTGTCCAGTCGTGAGCCACTCGAGGAAACCATGCCAGTGGTAGTGGAGCCAGTGCTGCTGAAACCTGGACATTTTTCCTGTCTGCATGGTACTTGTGACGACTGGTGTTCAGCACATACGGGACTTTTGGAAATCCCCAGCCTGGATCTTAGTGGTTTACCTTTCCTGTAGGAAATATTTTTGAAAAGTCTGACAATGCTGCTGTTCCCTTGACTGACTCCCGTGTATGTCTCCTCCGGAAGAGGGTCCCCACAGCAGACGCACTTCCCTGAGGGGCTTAAGGCCCTGCAGCCTCTCGTGTGACTCTCTCTCTCTGCCCTCATCTGGTCAAGAACAACAGGTGTACCCCAAAGCTTGGCTCCCTGTTGCAGGGCTCAGGGTACCCTTCCTTACCCTCTTCAAAGGCCAGGCTACAGTACTTCTTGTGAGTCTGCCCTCCAAGAAGATGGGGCCTCCGAGGCCCCCGTGTCCCCACAGAGGGCCCCTGCCATCAAGGCCAGTTTATCCCCCTAAGCTGTCACTGAGTCGAGCTCTTGAAGCTCTCCAGAGCAGGACTTGCCCCTTGGAACCACTCCAGGTTTCAGCCAGGTGTGGCCAGTCTCTGTAACCCAGGCGATGACTATCCTGCAGCTGGGAGAAGGGGAACATGGAGCCATGGCAGAGCCCTGGCAGCCAGCATACCCTCCTGCTTGTCCCCAACATGGCCCTGGCTCCTCTGCATGGCCTGCCTTCCCTTGTGCATTCAGCACTGAGCTCTCCTGCTCTGAAAGGGCCCGAGTGGCCCCTGGGCGCCTTCGCCTGTTGCTGGCGGGGTCAGATGCCCACACAGCTGGCGTTGCTCTGCTCCATGGGCGGTCAGTCAGAGCAGGGCACCGTGCCACTGGGCCCTCACTCGGCTTCCACACTGAATATTTTCCGGTGCTGAACCGCTTTCCAGCCTCAGCAGACACTGGGATGACTTCCAGCCCTTTCTGGGGCCACCATGCTGTCAGAGGGGACTTGGGTCCTGGTGCACACGTGGGCATTGGCTGGAGTTTACACAGAAAATTGTGACCTCCATCATGAGTTTGGATTCACTCCACGGGGTTTTTATACTAAGCAATAATTTCTCAAAGCAGCACACGTCAGAGCATATCCCCATGTCCCTCATCCCACAGAGCCGCTGGATCTCGGGACAGTGGCGTGTGTATTTAAAAACAGGGCATTTGAAGGTGATTTTGCCAAAACTGTCAGAATTCTAAATTTCTTGCTGTGGAACTTCCTGAATTTTTTTGACTTTTTAGCTCTATCTTCCAGTTGTAGTTGAGAGATGAGTCGATCTCACCTGTGGTTTTTTTTTGTTGTTGTTTTTATTTATTTAAGGCAGCATCTCCTGTGATCCCAGGCTGGAATGAAACACCCAGTCCTCTTTTCACCTGTGTTTTTAAGAGACAGCTCAGACTTCGGTCCCACTATTGAGCAGCCTCCCAGGACTCAGAGCCTCCCAGAACTCACAGCCTCCGGGCATGGCCCGCCCAGGAAATGTCCATGAATATTTGGGGCTGTGTATTTTTCACCATATTATGGAGATTTTAACATTGTTCCCATTTTTATTTAAGTCTGTATCGTTCTCATAATTGCCAAAAACAAAGCATTTTATACATGGGGGATCTTCCTGTGGCCACGAATGGAAGGGAAGACTTTATATTTCTGATGAAGACGTGAGCCAGCGGGTTCTTTTGAGATCTCAAGCAATACAGAAAGTTTAGATTCAGACTTCAGGCCGCTTTCAAAATGTCAGCGTTTACTCGTAGATGAGTTAGGAGCGCTGGGTTTGCCAGTCGTTCCTAGTAAATCACGGGACGGGATAAACCACTGTTGTCTCCAGACGGAGGGGGCCATTCCTGCTTCACAGCCATGTTTCCGGTCTGCTTTGTACAAATAATGCAATTTTCACTTCCTTCCTAGCTGGATCCTGATTTTTGGGATATCAAATGACTGTCATAAGCCAGAAAGAACGTGCTGGAAGCTCTCCTCCTGAGACTAGGACTGAGTCTGGGCTGGAAGCTCGTCTTACGGTGGAAAGAGCCCTAAGCAGAGCCGCGCACGGCTCCCAGGCGGTTTTCATCACAGGCCTGACTGGCTCCAGGCGATGGTCTGTGGGACAAGGCTGTGTGTCTTGCTGCCCTAAAACCCTTCCAGAACCTTCCTCTTCTTTGTACTTCCCATCGGGTATCTGCACAAGGAATGACCTGCGTGTCCATCCGAGGGCCGCCTTACTCTGCCCGCCGGGTGTCGGGACCTCTGTGCAGCCCCCGGGCACTTGGGTTCTGGGAAACCATGTCCTGAGTGGGAGTGGGCTGTCACCGGCCTTGACTGTGACAGAGAGCACTCCTGCAAGTAAATCCGTTCCGGACGTTGGGACGTTGACAGTATTGCGTCCCCAACAGCTGGTGACAGGCCGTTGAGCTGTGGACAGGACGGGGACTGGGTCGGGGCCACTGCAGATCCGTCCAGACACAATGGGAGAGGCCCCGGCAGCAGACAGCTAAGGAGCTTTTGTCTAATTGTGTGCGTTTTTAAACTGTACCATTTCTACTGTACATTGATGCATAGTGTGATTCGATGAATTGCTTGTAATTTAAAACTATTTAATATTCAAAATAAATACTTATATATTTATAAACTGTCGCCGTGTGTGTCTTGCGATTTTTCCAAGGGCGGGGGTGCTGGCCGTGTCCCTCGGTCTCCCGCCGCGGTGCCCAGCGGGTGGGGTCTCCAGGGCCCGCGATGCCTCGCGCAGTTCCGTTCAGGTCCAGTCACCCGGCTTCCACGGGCCCCCAAGCCCCTCAGGTCACAGGCGCCACCGCAGCAAGTGGACGATGTCCCATGCAGACACCCCAGAGGCCTTGTGGGGCCCCATCCGCCCTTTAGCAGGCGGGGACACTGAGGCAGGAGGCGTCCAGGACGGCGGGGGGCGGCTTGTCACCCAGCTGCCCCGGAGCTCGGGACCTGAGCCCGCCCCCGGCCGGACCCCTGCGGAGGGCTGCGGCGCTGCTTGGGGATGGCAGCTGCCTCGAACATTCTTGTCACAGCGGCTCTTGCGACTTCCGAGCCTTAACCGCAAGGCCAGGTGCGGCCCGGGGCTCCCCTCCCCCACCCCATCTCCGCGTCCCGGGAGGGGCGGGGCCGCCGCCCGCCGCAGGTGCGGCACCGCCCCCGGCTCATTTGCATACGGCCGCGGCCCCGCCCGGGGCGGCTAAAGCTACGTGTCCTTGTCCCCCGTGGGCAGGCTCTGCGCGTGCAGCCGCGGATCCCGCAGGTAACCGGGGTCGAGGGTCCGGGGTGGGGCGGGGAGGGGACCCGGACGCAGGAGCAGGTGGCGGCTGGCGGGAAACCCGGCCCAGGCGGTGGCCACAGGGAGCTGCTCCCTTCACGCCCCACGCAGGCGCCATCCACGTGGGGGAACTGGGGACTGCTGGGCCCAGCTCTGGCCACTGCGAACCTCTGACCTGCCCCACGGCCCCGTGTCCACATTGCTTCTGGTCCCCATGTTGTCCCTGTGTGTCACATGCAGTGGGGCAGGACAGTGAGCCTGCTGTCCACCTGCTGTCCAGTGTCACCTGCCTGTTCTTGGGGCAGGCAGGATTGGGACATATCTCTGGGTGATCTGAGTGTCAAAGGTCACCTAAGTAGGGGTCACTCAAGGGAGTGAGGGCCATGGAACCAGAGAAGGACCCTGGGGTCACTGACAGCCACCCTGTGGGGAGAGGCTGGAGAATGTAGAAAGGTTTGGGGGGCCGTGTGACATCAAGCTGAGGGCTCAGTGTGTCAAAGGAAAGGACCCTAGGGACACCATGCACCAAGTGGTCACCTGCCATTGGCTTCTGATGGGACAGCCACCCTGGGTGTCACTGACCATGCCGAGTGACCACAGGGTGGTCTGTGTTCTGGATTTCAGTGCTAAGGGCCACTTCAGAGCCATGAAGACCAAGAACCAGCCTCCCCGGCGGCGGACGCCACTGCAGGACACCGAGGCCAGCCTGGGGGAGCGGACGCTCGACGTGTCCCAGCAGGGCTCGGGGCCAGAGTTGTCCAAGGGTCTTCGGAGCAGGACGACCCGAGCTGCAGGGACGCGGGCTGAGGCCGGGCGACGGAGACAGGGCCCCGGGGGCCGGAGGGACAACAGTGTCCAGAGGCGACTGGAGAGCAACGAGCGGGAGCGTCAGAGGATGCACAAGCTCAACAATGCCTTCCAGGCCCTGCGCGAGGCCATCCCGCACGTGCGTGCCGACAAGAAACTCTCCAAGATCGAGACCCTCACGCTGGCCAAGAACTACATCAAGTCCCTGACCGCCACCATCCTGACCATGTCCAGCAGCCGCTTCCCAGACCCCGCTCCGGGCTCCAAGCTCTACCAGCATTACCACCAGCAGCAGCAAGCCACCGGCGGCGCGCTCGGGGACACTGAGGCCCAGCCTCAGGGCCACCTGCAGCGGTACTCCACACAGATCCATAGCTTCCGAGAGGGCAGCTAGCGCCCGGCCCTGGGGTGGGGTGGCAGTGGTGGCCCAGCCTGCTCATCCCAGCCCCGGTCCCTCTGTGCCACAAGTCCCCACAGCGGTGGTGGCCACGGATGGTCCACAGAGCTGCAGCCCCAGGAACTCCATCTTCCCTGACAGCTCAGCTCAGCCACCAGCCTGGTCCCCCCGCACCTCCCCAGGGGACAAGCATGGGGTCTGGTCATGACAGCTTAAGGCCCAAACCCTGGAGTAAGTCCTGGGTCCTGTTCTGTCACCGAGTCTGGAGGACTCTGTGGGTGTGGGAAAACCCTCGCCTTCCTAACTCAATTCTCTCCGCCTGCAGTGGTGTGGGGCTCCCTCCCGGGCAAGGGAAGGTTCCAGAAAAAAGGTTTAATTGCAAGTTTTCTGCTGCTGCTGAGAACAAGGCCCCGGAGGGACCGTCTTCCATTCTGTGTCATTGGGCTACAATGGGAGCCTGGGCTCAACCTCCTGGTCTGGAGTAAACTGAGGCCTGGAGCAAGCAGGGCTAAGCCAAGCCCCGCAGGCAATGTGACAGAGCCAAGATGGCGGGTCCTCCCGCTGAAAGGACTTTACATTCTTCCTAAAGGGGCCTGGGGGGCAGCCTGGCTTCCTCCCTCCTCCCAAGTGGAGGACCAGGGAGGAAGCAGCGCCCCAGGGCTGCACCTGACTGGGAGGATCTGAGTGGGGCCCTGGGGTCTGCAGCCCTAGTGTTAGGGAGCAGGGCCACAGATGGAACGGGACACAGGGCAGGGTGTCCCTGGGAGACGGTCCCAGCCTCCCACCCCAGCTTCTCCTTGTCATCATTGCTCGAATGTGGGGTCACTGTTTATTTGGCACAGGTGACCCCACATGGTGGCCTTTGGATGTTCTTGGTTCCTGTTGGGGCCCTTTGGGACTTTCTGCAAGGTAAGGTGGAACCTGGGGTGGCAGGCACTCCCCTCCCCCACCTGGTGCTGCTCCCTAATGAGAGGGACTGGGGTGGCTTGGCAGCCCTGCTGCCTTGGGCCCAGCTTCCTTCTGCTGGGTCCTTCCTGTCCCACTGGCTCTGCCGGACTTGGCCACTTTGCTGTCAACTCTTGCTGGCATCTCTCCTTCTCTGCACTTGTCCCTGTGCCCAGAGCTCTCTGGGGGCTAGGCTGTTCCTGAGGTGCTGGGGGTGGGGGGCCTAGCTGGGCCAGGAGTGTGGCCTGTCCCTAGTTTGTGGCCTTACCCTCCTTAAGCTTGGGGGGCATGGCACTAGATGCTGAAGGCACCGCAGGGCTTGGGTGTCACCCCTGGCTACAAGAAGGGCAGCAGGTTGCACCCCAAGGAGCAGGTGTTAGCCACGCAGTCCTCTGGAAGGAGGAAGGAAGTCCTGGGCATGCTGGTGTCATCTCAGAGAGACCTGATCGTGTGCCCTTCCTGCCAGTCCCAGAGGCCTGGTCTGGTCCTTCCACCCCAGCTGTTCTTTGTCCTGGCTCAGACGGGGATTCTGGGCCTTCCTGGAAGATCCATGGGGCGGCCACTGTGGAGGGTCCGATGTCAGGGAACCCAGCAAGGTTTGGCACAACTCCAAGCTGAGGTCAAAGCCCAGGTGTCTGTCACAGTGGGAGACCTGCCCAGAGGGGACCCAAGATGGCAGAGGCCTCTACCCACCAAAAGCCATCGGGGCTGCCTGCCAAGCAGCTCCTGTTTCCGGGGCTCAGTGTCTCCCTTTACTTGATGAATGCATGGATATCCTGGGCCCACTGCATACAGTTGGGAGGGTGGGGGGCAGAGCCTCTGTCCTGCCTGACAGCTGGCCACAGCCCAGGGGGGTCTCTGCCTTACAGGACGACAGCCTTTTGGCTGGCTCTTTGTGCCCTCAGCTGGCACCTGTGGCCCCAGAGGGTGACCAGGGCTCAGCTGTCCAGTCCTCCTCCACCTGTGGCCATTCATGCCCCTTGGTTACAGCTCAAAGGACCCTCAGAGGTCCCAGTCCCACTTAGGCTGCTGAATGTCAGACGAGGTGAGGGGACAGGTCTGAGGCTGGTCAGTGTGGCCTGCTGCTGCTCTCTTTTCATCCTTGTCCTGGACTCCATGCCCAGACTGGACTGCTGTCCTGCAGGGAGGTCCTGACAGACCGTGGGGACACAGTTTGCTTGAGTCCCTGGACAAGTTGGGCACAGCCACCCACCTGCTCTGAGCACAGGTCACTGAGCCAGGGAGCTCCCAGGCAAGGGTCCCTCAGGACTGGGACTTCTGTCTGGGACACAGACTGGGGTCCCACTCCATGTTTCTTAAATGACCCAAATTTGCCCTCACTTTTTCCTAATGGCCCCTTCAAAGCACTAATGAGACCAATGCTGTGTCATAAAACGAAGATAAGATTTCAAGACGATTGCTGCTTCCCCGCCACGGACGAGTGAACCGTCTTTTAATCGATGTATCAATAAAACATCACGCCACTGCTCCTCGGTGCGGTCTTTTATTGACAAGACAGTTCGGAAGTGCTGAACAAGTAAACAGTCGGTGCTCAGCAGCAAGAAGACACGCCACCCTGGAGAAAGGGTGGCGTGACACTCTCACGGGGCCTTGCTGAGAGCCACCTGCAGTGACGGTCACAGTTGTGGGGGACAGCGCATGCTGCCAATGAGAACCCTGACACCGGTGGACAGACAGGGACGGCCACCCACAGGGCCCCTCTGTGCCGACACTCCTTGTCCCGCCTCAGATCCCTGCAGGAGCCAGCGTCAGGTGACAAACCCTGTACAGCCAAGCAGAACCCCTCCTGGCCACGGGACAGGCAGGAGCCTGGTGAACCCAGTTAGCCCACTCGTTCTGTCCCTGAATGAGCAGACACAGAGCTGCCTCTGGCCACCTTCTGGGGAGTGTCCAGATGTAGGAAGTAAAAGTGACGTCCCCCCCTCCCCCAGGGCACACAGAGAAGCCGCACCCACAGGAGCCAGGCCACCAGCCAAGCACTTGCTCTTGCTCTGCCTGGCCAGGCAGGACTCGCCTTGGGGCACAAGGTGCCTTCTGCCCTGCCCAGGCCACAGGATGGCTTGGGGCTCTGTCCACACCCTGCCCAACAGACACAGTCCTGTTTCCTGAGTGATCTTGTGGCCCCAGGATGTCACCTGGTTCCACTGTGCCCCCTGGCCACCTGCGACATGATCTGAGGTACCAGGAGACTCTGTTGCTGCCGACGGTTTCAGATGGGGACCCTGTGCGATTCCACCTCCCAGACCACCCCAGGAAAGGGTCCACCCCCAGCCACCTCAGACCCAGGCCGTTTCTTGTCTTTGGAGGAGGGGGTGGGCAGGGCCCAGATACAATTTGGGGCACCAGACTCAGGAGGGCTCCTCCCCATGGCGTCCCCGTGCCAGGGCACCTGCAGGGCTCTGATTCTAGTTCTGGGCCTGGAAGGGAGGAAGCAGAGGGGGAAGAGACAGGTGGCACAGGCTGGGCCTGAGGGACCAGGCCCAGGTGACTCTCCCTCACCTCCCCCCGGGGACTGGGAGACACATGGAGGACTGTCCACAGAGCTTCCAGTTTCTGCCACTGCCTCTTAAGTGGCCTTGGCCAGGCTCCCTCTGACTTGGCTGGAGTGACACCCTGCTGCGCCCGCACCTCCGCACAAGATGGGCTCAGCCCGATCCTTCAAGCCCGAACCGTCCCAGCCTCCACGAGATGCGGCCTCAGCAGCAAACGGGGCCGTGGGCCTCCTGCTCCCGAGAGCTGCTCCGAGGGGCCCTGGTGGCGTTGGCCCGGACAGAAATGTGGTCCCAGCCTCCCTGGAAGGAGGAAGCCATGTCACCTGGAACCCAGTGATCCCCGAGATCTGTTACCTCCGCCCTGTGAGCACACGTGTGTGACAACCCGCCCTGGAGCCTGCCACTCACCCCGATGCCGTAGTCCCAGCCCTGCCCCTTGGGCTCCCGGGGCTGCACACCCGTGCGACGACACACTGTCCCCCGGCTCAGCCCGTGACTTCCCTGGACTTTGTTGGCAATGACCCAGACCTGAAACACAGACCTGCTGGAGCCCCCGGCCCATGTGCAGTGGGTCAGCTGGGGACATGAGGGGAAAGCCTTGGTCCCCACCTGGTCCAGGGGCCCCACGGACACCCTGCGCACGTTGTTGGATACATGTTCCCAGCTGGAGCCCTGCGGGTAGCTGGGCGTGATGCCCCCGCGGTACCACAGGTTCCCTGGGGGGAGAAGCAGCGGGGTCAGGGTGAAGCTGCGGCCCATCCTGGGGGACAGCAGGGTCTGGGAAGCTGGGGCTCAAGCAGTGCCCTTTGGCTTCTCCCACCCCTGGGCTGGCTGTCCCCGTCCTCAGCCAACAGCCTGGGCCACGGCCAGCCCTGTCTTTGCACGTCTGGCCTTTGCCTGGCTTCATAATGGTTCTTTTGTGCTGGTGGCCCTTCTCCTCCTGCCGGGTAGAAACTGAGGGCGAACAGAGTCACACAAGCCCCGTACTGCCTCTCCCAACCCCTCTCCATCTGAACTGAAGTGGCCAGCGCCCTGCTGAGGTGACAAAGGCCATCTGGGGCCAGGGCCCACATCTAGGTGACTTGAAGAGACCAAGGCCGGCCCAGGCTGCATGCCTCGGTGCTGGGGACCTGGGGGCTTGGCTGCTCTGGCCTGGCCCAGGCACTGGAGGCTCCTGAGGGCCAGGCCTGGGCTGCAGCTCAGCGTCCTGCCTCCCTGTTAGCACAATGGAAAGGGGCGCACTGACAGGGGACTTTCATGTCCCCAGGGGAAACACAGCCCAGAAAGGCCTGAATGCTTCTGGGATGCTTAAGAGGCTCACTGAGGAGGCCACCCCAGCCTCTGTGTGGCCTGCCCATTGTCACATTGGTGTGCTCAGGGAACCCCACCCTCCCCACTGGCCATCAGGAACCAAAACAACTTGCCATTTTCATCTAAGGCGTACACGGATGTCTGACCGACCGACACCTGTGTCAGCCTCTGCTTGGGAGGAGACGGGATGTGGTACCAGCAGTCACCTGTGATAGGACAGCCACGTCAGGAGGCTACCGGGACAACTACGTCACCAGCCGGCACAAGCACACCGCTCCTGCTGAGCTCAGTTCTGGGTTGCGGCCAGCCTTGGGCTGGTCACAGACATGTGGCCAGGGCTCGGTGTGAGCTCAGGGTCACTCAAGGCCACCCAGGCCCTGCTGTCCATCCAACACCCTGGCAACGGCCAAGGCAAGTGTCATGGCAGGTCCCAATGGACCACCTCACCAACACGAGAAGGTACCCAGTCAGGCACACTAGAGAGCTGGCCTCAGCGGTCACCCTTGAAACAATTGCCGTAAGGGCCTAGGTGCCACCAGCACCCACCCCTGGGCCAGCCTCCCCCAGCTGGACACAGTCTAAGCACCCAGTCAACAGAGTGCTTGTTGTGGGGTGGTCCTCCCAGCAAGGGCCAGCAAGGGCCAGCCAGGCCTGGCTGGGGCAGTGGGCAGCTGTGACCCCCCAACAACAGCCAGTCCCAGGGGAAGGGAGTGTGGCCTCTGAGGGACCCTGGCTCAGCCCTGGGCCTGCTTGTGAAGTGCAAATGAGGTGACCTCAGTTGGACAGCCCTGTCACAGCTCAGCACTGGCAGGGTCACTCACCGGCCGGCTGGGAGGGAGACACAGAGCCCCGATAGAACGCAGAGCCATCCCTGGCCACGGCCCACACCTGGTAGCAGGCCCCGATGGAGACGGAGGCAAAGGGCTGGTCAGTGCCGATGTGTAGCCAGGAGGAGCCCTGGGAATTAGCCAGAGGCCGTGAGCCTGCTGTCCCCCAGGCCTGGGCTCAGGGCAGGGCCCAGGACCTCAGGCTGCCCAAGGGTGGACAACACGGGGACCTCCCCCACATGGACCTGCCTGCCTCAGCCCTGACCATGATCTGCTCTGCGCTGGTCAGTAGGCCCTCAAGCTCAGGCCCCTCATTCCTCAAGTAGGGAAAATGACAGCGCGTGGCCCTCACTGAGGGTGCTAGAGAGCCTCAGTGTCACCTAGGCCTGCCTGTGTCCCCAGCCTGCTGCCCCAGGACCGAGCGAGGGCAGCTCCACCTGCCAACCTCATCCTTAGCACCGACTGCCCTGAGGACACAGTGACCCACTCAGGCCAGGTGTGGTGGCTTCCAACCCTAGGGATTCATCCTGGGCAGGCCCGGGGACACCAAGAAGAGACGCTTCAGAAACCAGGACTCCTGATTTCGGGAGGAATCTGGCAGGACGGGGTGGCACTGGACACCAGGAGGAGGTGCTCACCGCAGGGTTGAGCTCAGACACACCCAGGCGGCACAGCACGTCCCCCTTGTCACTGACAGCCCAGAGTGCAATGCTGTGCCCACATTCCTCGGTGTCCGGGCTCTCTGGGATGATGGACACGTCCCCGAGGGCGATGGGGGCCACCTCCAGCCAAGGACCACTGGTCACCAGCTTACATTTTCTGTGCAGGAAAAGAACAGAAGCCAAGGGAGCCAGCATGACCGCAAGAGTCAGGGCCTGTCACCACTCACAGCCACCAGGAGCAGGGAGCAAGAGGGGCAAACCTGCCAGGGCTAGGGGGGGCGGGTGGGGAGGGCTGGGAGGGCAGTGCACCCAGGGGGCAGGGGCGAGGGGCCCTCTCTGTCCCCACCCTTCCCCCATCCCAGCAGACCTCCCACCTCTCAGGTGCTGCCAGGGGCATTTCTTATTTGTTCTTGAAAATAAACTTCAGAAACCAGAGCGTGGGGAGCCCGCAGGCATTTCCTGGGCTGACATTTACTTTGACTCTGGTCTCCTCCCTCCCTGCCTTTCCCTTTGGGACTGGAGGCTGGAGGCCCACAGATCTGACCCAAGAGAAACCTGAGGCCTCACTGCTCCCTCCCTGGGGGCGGCTCCCGGGGCAGGGAAGGAGCCCAAGGCCTGTCCCCCCGGCCACCCTGTGGCTCCTTCTCACCTGGCCCAGCACCTTCTCCTGACAAAATCCTTCATGGTTTTGTACCCATGGTAAGAGCTGCAAGAGGAAGAGGTGGTGAAATCAAGGCTGCTTCATGGAACATGGAAGCTTCTGGAAAGTTACACTGTGCATGTTATTTTCTCAACTGTTGAAGGGCCTCGGTGTGGCCAACAGGTCAGGGCTGAAGTTCGGCCCTCAGGGACCCAGCAGCCAGGGCCTCTCAAGATGGCACCTGCTTCATTCCAAGGGCTTGTGCTGCCCCTTTGCCTGCCCCAAAGCTCCCCAGGACCCCTTCTGAGGTGTCCAGGGCCTCCTCACCCTCCTCGAACCACCAACACCAGGTCCTACCATCTGTGCTCCCAGAACCTTCAATCCTGGCACAGCAGGGACAAAGCCAGGTGCAGAGGGAGACATGGCCCTTCTACCTGTGCCCAATCCACCCCGGCCAGGTGTACCAGGAAAGCCAGGCGTGGGGGGGCTCCCTCAGCCTCTCCCACTCCGTTGGCCCCAGCCAGCAGCAGCTTGAGGTGGCAGAAGGGGGTCCGTCCCTCCGCCAGGCTGGGGCTTTGGGGGCAGAGCTACCCAGAGCTGAGGGCAGAGGTCAGCCTGGCAGAGGGACCCAGCCCGAGGCCCAGGCCAGGAAGAGATGCTCACGCAGGGAAGTCACTGGCATACTGCCAGCCTTCCTGGTCCGTGCCACCTGGGACGCTGAAGTCCACAAACCAGTCAGAAACCTGGGGAGAAGTCAAGTCAGTGAGAATGGGAACCCCAAACCCACAAGCCAGTCAGAAACCTGGGGGAAGGGAGATCAGTGTGGGCAGGAATCCCCGCCCCACCCCCCACCACAAGAGATCCTGGGCTCACCCATGTCCACTGCAAGGATGGGGGCTTCGTGGTGGCCTTGGTGCACTCATGCAGCCCCGAGGCGTCACTCCACATGTACCGGTCTGTGGGCAGACCCCTGCAGCAGGATGGGCGTGCGATGAGAGTCCACCCTGGCTGGACTCCCTGACAGCAGGCTTGCACCCCATCCCGGGTAGGGACCAGAGGAAAGGCCTGGGCTCCATTCTGGGGACCAGGAGTTCCCAGGTGCACTCACTCACCAGGGGTCATGGGAAAAAAAGAACTGCCTCAGGATGGGGACACTAACGGTATGAGCCCATGTCACCATGGTGTCTGGGCTGTCCAGAGGCCGTGGCCCTCGGTGCATGTGGGAGTCTCCCTCTTTCCCTCCTTGAGTTAGGGGTTGAACAGTGGCTCCCAAAAGATGCTGCTGCTTCACCGCTAGCAACTGTGCATGTGGCCTTATTGAATGTAAGACTCTGACGCCCACTTGAGTAGACTTTGAGAAAGGCCTCTGCCCTGGGTGTGTGAGGGGTTTCCAGAGACCATTAGACCACCAGGGCTCCTACCGGGTCAACAGTCAATTCGCGGGTGGGAGGAAACAGGCGACCTGGGGTATAGCTTCAAAGGGTTGATGCTGCCCCGGCCCCTTCCTGTCTCCTCTCTGCTTCCTGGCAGCCATGACTACTTAGCTCTGTTCCACCATGACGCCCTGCCTCACCACAGGCCCAGAAACAGTGGAGCCAGCAGCCATGGATGGACCCTCTGAAACCCTGGGCAAGAATAAATCCTTTCTCCTGTAAGTTGTTTGTCTCAGAGATTTTGTCACAGCGATGAAAAGGCTGACTAACACACGGTCTGATAGTCAAGGTAAGATAGCACTAGGGTGAGCCCTAATCCAGTAGGACTGGTGTCCTCATAAAAAAGGGGGATTCGGACACAGGCACACGCAGAGGGTGACGTGAAGATGGAGGGAAAAGACAACCAACCACGGGGCGCCAGGACGGGCCTGGGACAAACTCGCCCTCAGAGCTCTGAGAAGGAGCAGGCCTCAGACACCCTGGTCCTGAGGCAAGAGACAGCTCCTCTCTGCGGGTCAGCCATGCAGCCCGGGGCGCTCAGTAGCTGGCAAGGGCCCTACAGCGACATCAGCTGCTCACTGATGTGGACAGGTGGCCAGGGGCTGAGCCCACGTTGGCGATGGCTGGCCATGGCGTGGTCCTTGGTTTGCCTCTGACCTTGGATTAGGGAACTCTGGGCTACCCTGGACTGCGCAGCGAGTGAGGGGAAGGCGAGGGGAGCTGTTAACGTCGTGTTAGACGCTGTAACGCGCAGTGTGGGCACAGGTTTCCAGGAGCGATTTGGCACTGTCTAGCCAATGCCCCAGGAAAGCGTAGCCGATCCGGTTTACGGGATAAACAGAGGGACACACAAATATTTACACGAGGACGTGCTGCCTGTTGTCCATAGGACAGTGAAAGGTCGCAGGCCATCCACATGGCCAGGGCTGAGCGGACATGAGGTAGGTGTGTCTGCCCTCAGGCATTGACCTACAAGGCCTGCGTTGTCCCTCCTCCCAGAGGTGACATGCTGTTTAAAACGCTCCCAGTGGTTGCTATCTTTGGCTGGTGAGATTGGTTGCCATGGAGTTTGCTCCTGGTATCATTTGATATTTATTTCTTCTCACCAATCTTGAAAATGCAGGAAAGGAAACCAATTGCATTTCACTATAGAATCTCAAACAGTTTATGAAAATGAAATTAAAAAGGCTGAACGTGCCATTTATAAATAGTACCCCAAATATGAAAAACTATTTAATTAAAGATGTCAAGACCCCTGTAAAGAAAACCACAAAATCTTTTCTCTCTTATTTTTTTCACAGTACTGGGTTTTGATCAGAGCCTCTAACTTGACTAGCAAGCACTCCACCACTTGAGCCATGTCCCCAACCCCTTTTCTGACTTAGTCATTTTTCAGATGGGGGCTCATGCTGTTTGCCCAGGGCTGTTTGACCATGATCCTCCAGCCTCCACCTCCCAAGAAACTGCGATCACAGGCGTGTACCATCTAGCCTGGCTTGTTTGTTGAGATGGGGGTCTCACTAACTTTTTTGCCCCAGCTGGCCTTGAACTGTGATCTTCCCAATCTCCACCTCCTGGGTCACTGTGATTACAGGCGTGCGTTGGTGCACCTGGATGTAAAACCTTCTTGGGGTGTGACGCAGAAAGAAAAAGAAGACATTATGTTAATGGAGGTATGAACCCTGATCACACTGAACTCGCTGTTATACAACAGTTACTCTGCCTGAAATCTTCAGGTCCTGTTCCAAACAAGGTCCCAGTGCACTGGGACAAGCTGCTTCTGAAGTCCATCCAGAATTGCTCAAAAATAGCCCCAAAGCATGGAAGAAACGAGGGTTTTGAAGACCTCCTGCAAGGGCCCGTAACTAGGACAAGGTGGGATTAGGTCCAGGAACCCAGAGCTCAGCGGCAGAGAAAGGTTTGGGATGGGCCGAAGACCATGTGGACACTCTTTATAGAGCAGGAGAAAAAGCGCAAACTTTCCCATAAGAAGTGTGACCCCGGGATGTTTCAAGCAAAACCCAACATCCTGTGATGCTGCAAGTGGTCACCCCAGGATGCCATCCAAGGACGGGGAGACTCGAAGACCCCAGGACCAAATCTGGGGATGATGCCTAACAGCAGTGCAAAGGCCTCAGGGCCAGCTCAGCCACCAGTCTTGTTTGACAAAGCCACCTAGAGCCAGGCACCGTGGCTCACACCCATAATCCTAGCTATTCAGGAGGCAGAGGGCAGGAAGATCAAGAATTGAGGCCAGCCAGGGCAAAAGCTCCAGAGATCCCATCTCAAAAATACCCAAAACACACACACCCAAAGGGCTGGCAGAGTGGCTCAAGTGGTAGAGAACCTGCCTAGCAAGTGTGAGGCCCTGAGTTTCAAAAGAAAGAAAGAAAGAGAGGACTGATGCACTGGTCTCCAAGCACAGAGGCCCTGTCACTTACCCCAAAGCCCCCAGGTGGAGATGCCCAGCTGCTGGGGAAGCATGAACCAACTAATTAAATCAAGTTAATTAAGTAAATAGAACCCAAAAATCAAAATGGCATGACCTCTCGCTATGTGCTGGTTAGAACCAGACCTAACTTCCCAGGCTAACGCTCATGGAACAGAACTGGCAATGACCCTAGGCCTGGCCAGGCACGCTGCCTGTTGTGGAACAGCCTACAAGCTAAGGGCAATTTTATGTTTCACTGGCTGCTAATTTTTTTGGTATTTTTGAGATAGGGTCTCACTCACAATCCTCCTGCCTCCACCTTCTAAGTGCCAGGATTACAGGCGTGCGCTACAAAGCCTGGCAGTGTTTATGTTTTTAAATGTTTGAAAAAGATCCAAGGAAGAGTAACATTTTGTGACAGACGGACAGCTCCAAATTCAGCGTCCATATATGTTTTATTGAGACATCGGTGCTCTGTCATTTACGTGTGGCCTGGACTACTCAGACATGACAGCTGCAGAGCTGAACAGTTGTGACCTCAGGCAACGAAACTGCTATAAAGGATTTTTTTGTGGGTGGTACTGGGATTTGAATTCAGGGCCTACACCTTGAGCCACTCCACTAGCCATTTTTTGTGATAGGTGTTTTCGAGGTGGGTCTCTTGGACTATTTGCCAGGGCTGGCTTGGAACTACAATCTTCCTGATCTCTGCCTCCTGAGTAGCTGGGATCACAGGCTTGAGCCACTGGCACCGGGTAATAAAGGATTTTTTAAAGGCCCTGACTTGATGTAAAGAAAAGAGTGGATCCAACTGGACTATGTATGCTTAAAGATCACACAGCACTAAGGGGCTGGGAGTGGAGTTCAGTGGCAGAGCTGTCACCTAGCATGTGTGAGGCCCTGCATTCCAGCCCCAGTAGAAGAGGAGGAGGAAGGGAAGGAGGAGAATGAAGAGGGAGAGGGAGGAGGAGGAAAAGGAAGAGTGTCATATTAAGAAAAGGCAAACCACAGAATAGCAGACATCCTCACCACCATGACCCTCACCTCTTTGAAGTCAGGGTCAGGGTCTTGGCAAGGAGGGAGGGGGATGATAGGATGATAGGGGCTGCGCAAGGTGTGGCAATGAACTCTCTTGGCCTGCATGGGGATGGCTCTAGCGTTTGACCTGTGGCAGCTCAGGTATACATACGTATGTATGTATATGCGTGTGCGTACACTGCACGCACTATACCTCTTGGTAAGTACTGACTTTTAATAGCACTACATTTAAAGATTCAAGAGAAAACCCTCCTTAAGCGCTGAGATCCAGTTAGTTCCACACTGGACGCTGTAGTCCGAGTTTGGTCAGGGCTGTGGTTTGGGCCAGGCGGTGCCCTGAGCACCAGGGAAACAGGTGCCACTCACCTGCTGGTGTAGCCCGTGACAGGGTTCCAGCGCTGGTTCTCATAGATGTAGACGCTCTTCACATCTGACTGCGTGTAGATGTTGCTGGCACTGCTGACCAGGCCTGGGGGAAGAGGAGGCTGCCGGGACCAAGGCCAGGCCAGCCCTGAGGCCCTGCCGGCCCCACCTCTGACTCGGGCTTTGCAAGGCTCCAGATGGGTTAGCCCGTTAGGCTAAGGCTCAAGGACCAGCCTGACTTGGGTTCCCCTCTTCTGTGACCGGGATTACTCTAGGGGCTCAGCCTAGACAAGAACGCGTGGGGGTCAGGCCTCTGTACACACTGCCTCCACCTCCTGCCGCATCCTCTGCTCTCGGAGGCATCTCTTCTGTCCCACCAGTGCCCGCAAGTGTGGGGCCCACCCAGCTCAGTTCTTTTTTTTTTTTCTAGCAGTATTTGGGTTTGAACTCAGGGCCTCCTACTTGCTAGGCAGATGCTCTACACTTAAGCCCTTCAAGGCCCTCAGCTGCGCTGGTCTGCAGCTCTGTCCTGGAACTGTCCTCTGGGAAGGGCTACCAGTGGTGAAGGTCCCCTGTCAGCAGCTGTTAGCCAAATGTTGGTACTGAGACAGCAGCCCTGGTGGCGGGCAGGGAAGCCGGGAGGTAAGGAGGGAACACCTGGGCAGAGCCCGAGAGCTGCTCCCGTCAGCTGCAGAGTCCGGAGTGTCCTCACCTTGGCAGCAGCCTCCGCCGTAGCCCCCCGTGTACACCCAGGCCGTGTGGTCATAGCCGATGCCCCACACCACACCGCGGCTGCTGGCTTCCACCACTCGCAGGTGGCCTCCCATTTGCCGCCAGAACCTGGGGGGCCAGAGAGGGGAGCCCTGTTTTCCAACCTCCCGTCCCCCTGGTGCCTTTTCTGCAGCCTCTCAGGAACAAGGCACTCTACAAGTCGGGTCTCCGAGCCAGAACAGACCAGCTCCGTGGCCCTTCTTATGTTAACAGCAATGCTCAACAGGTCAGAGGTGCCATGCCAGATATGGGGCCTCGGCCCTCGGCAGGTGTCCTGAGGAGTTTGCCCCATCTCCAAACCATTCCTCCTCAGGGCCAGGAAGTGAGGAGAAGGGCTGCACGCACTGTCCTGGGTAGGGCCAGGCTTGAACGACATGGCAGAGCAGGGACAGGCTGTCTGGTTCTCTGCACGAGCAACAGTGTCACCTGAGGGCTGACGGGCCTTCAGAGAGGCTGTAGGGTGACAGCTGCCTCCCAGGCCCACAGCAGGGTAGGCATCCTGCAGGCTGAGGCTCGGCCACTAGGGGGTGCTGAGCACACAGGCTGCCGGGAGCGCCGGCCGCCCTCTGGTGGGAAACCCTCCTGGTCTCACTGGTGATAAGAGCCCAGGGCCTCAACCTGCATCCTGGCCCATCCTCCACCTCCTAGGGGCTCTGCTCTATCTGTCCCCTCAGGCAACCCCATTCCTTCTTGTGCCTTTAAATTCGCCTCCACAGTGACTCCTAGCTTCCACTTTGTCTAAAGGCAGGGGAGCCTGCTCCGGCCCTCCCTAAGCCTGCCCCACCAACTGTGCCCTGAGAGCACACCCCAGGCTCCTCTCAGCCTCCAGGGTCCTGCTGCTGCAGGGGCTGGGAGGGGCTGGACGCTCGCTCAGGTTTGTGTCCTGGGCTGTGGGAGGGTCATGGCTTCTCTGACGTGGCCTGGGAACCCCTCAGGGGTAGAGACACCTTCTTGCCACTCTTGATGCTCCTCTGCAGCTGCGTGGAGGACAGTGTGCACCTCCGAGCCCCAGAAATCTGGCTCAAAAAGACAACGTTGGGGGCCTGGGGAGCAGCTGCCCATGCCTCTGGGTAGTCAGCCTCTGTGGGCTCTGATCACACGGGGGCCCCTTTTCCAGAATCTCACATTTGGGTGCTTGGGGAAGGGCACAGCCCATCCCACTCACATCTGGTCGCAGGGTAGCAGGTGCTCGCAGGCCTCCAGATCTGGGCTGGGCTCACTCACGAAGATGTCTCCCTTGCACGTGATGGACCAGATGGCCTGTGGGGATGGACGGCCGTGGACTCTCCGGCTCTCACAGCATGACAGGCTGAGCAGGGCAAGCTGTTGTGGGTACCTGGCTGGTCACTGCTGGGCAGGCGGAAGCCTGGCTGGCCCTGATTTCCCTGCCCCTGGGGCCTCACTCACTCACCCAGTCATTCATGTCCTGCTCGGTGGCAGCAGCCAGACGCACAGGCCACCTTTGCCGGGTCCTCTCAGGGGTGTACAGGGCAAAGGAGTGCTTGGCCTCATTGAGCACGGGGACCAGCACGGTCACTTCGTTGAGAAACACGTGGAGGTACTGTTTGAAGGGGGGAGCACAGCAGGTCGGTCACCCTGGATAACCAGCCTCAGGGCGGTGCTGTGGACAACGCTGGCTGTGGTGATGGCAGTGATGGGGTCAGCACTGGGCCCCCAGGGCTGCTGACTTCACTCACAGCTACAGAGCCGAGCAGTACGAAAGCTACACCTTATGAACAAATGCCCTTCGTGACATTTTCAAGAAATACTTTTTGGCAGCACTGGGGTTTGAACTTGGGACATCATGCTTGCTAGGGAGGCGCTCTACCACTTGAGCCACACTTCAAGCTAAACAAGTGTCTTTGATGCTGACTGCCTGGCACACGCCAGCAGTAACTAGCGCGGGGGACTTGGTCTTCTGAAGTCAGAGTTTTCATCTCAAAAGCTAGAACCTACAGCTCTGTGGGAAGAAGGAGGATCACAGTTCAAGGACAGCACGGGGAAAACTGTTAGCAAGACCCTATGTCAAAAAGCAAGCTGGGAGGACTGGGGGGGTGGCTCAAGTGGTAGAACACCTGCCTAGCAAGTGCGAGGCCCTGAGTTCAAATCCAGCTGTGGGGGGAGAGGCCCTGGAAGGCCACGTGAGCGACCACACACACGCCCACCACCGGGCTTTACGAACTACTCACAGACTCTGAAAAGAGCACCTTGGGGGCCTTCCCTGTGTCCCCTCTCCAGGACAGTGTCCTTGAGGGCCCTCCTTCCCTGGCCTCTCTGCTCCTGGGTACCTTCTTCTCCTCGTGGACCACGTAGTACATGAACAGGACGCTGTCTCGGGCCCCATCGTGTCCTGTGAACTGCTCCAGGGCCACGCGGACGTCCACCCACTTGTGGGGCTTCCAGTCGCACCACCACTGCAGAGCCCCCGTTTTCACCCACACCGACTGTGGCACAGGCACAAGAGCGGAGGGGATGTGTCACAGGGTCACAGGACCCCCTGCCCAACACCCTCAGGGCCCAGAAGTGACACCATGCATCCATGATGGGTGGACAGCAGCACGACATACAGTAGGCAATGAGTGCCCAAGGGCAGCTGGGTGCACACCTGCTCCACAGCCTGCTCGTAGTGCCTGAAGTTCTCCAGCTCCCGCTTGCTTCCTCCAGGCAGCAGTCTGGGCCGGCGTGATGGATAGGGATAGGGTCTGCACCGAGGGGGACAGGCCTGGGGAAGGCCAGGGCCTCAGGGCCAGGTGCCATCCTGCCCGCAGCTGGGCAGGAGCCAGGCCTTACAGTCATTTTTTTTCCCCCTCCCCGTCAGCCCTTTCTTGCTAGAAAGATCCTATCTCTATAGACTGTCCTGGGAGCCCTCCTCCCACTGTCCACCTGACCAGCAAGGTGCTGCCCCCAGCAATTCAGCCTAGAGAACTTCCAAGACAGGGAAAGGGCTACAGTGATTGAGGGGACTCCTGGCTGCTGTGCCTCCCTTTCCTGACAACTCCCACAGGTCTCTGAAGGCCACAGATTGGCCCAAGGTCTTGGTCAGGGCTGCTGAGCACTGTGGGGCCTTCTGGTAGGACAGCAGGCCTGCAGCAGCCTCAAGTCACATCCCATGCCCCACTCCTCCCAAGATCACCCACTGGGACACCTGGTCCCTCTGGACCCCTGGGCCCCTTACCAGACAGGACAGTGAACCACTTGAGCACAGAGCCTGCCTCCACTGCGCAGGCACCTCCGGACACCCAGGCCCACAGAGGGTGGTCATCGGCCCCATACGGTTCCTCCATGCCCAGTGGGAAGAGGCCCAAGGAGGAGAGGCCTGTGGTCTCTGGAAAGCTGGCAGCTGAGTGGTTGACCACCTTCTTGGGCTCCTTCAAGTCAATATTGGTCCAGGGCAGCTCAGCAGGGCTGGAGGCCTGAGCGGCCTCTCCTCTGTCCCCGGCTGGACAGGTGTTCTCCACCGCACACTCTACGGTACTTCTGGGGTCAGCGCCCGAGGCCAAGCATTCTTCTGGGCTCCTGGAATTTTCCAGAGACTCTTCAGGGGGAGGCTGCTCAGGCCCCCGCCTCTCAACGTCTGAGGAGGCATCGGTGTCACTGGGCGCAGACTCACCGCTGCCCCTCACCTCATCACCAAAGAAGCAGCCAGCACTGGGGACAGAACAGGGCAGATGGTTAACTCTTGTGGTGATGTGGACTGCCACTGTGACTACCCATCTCAGACAAGTCACAGCCTCTGACTCCTGTCTCCTCCCTTCACAACACATGGGGACACCTGCTTTCCAGTGGCCGAAACACCTGGGCCATGCCCTAGACCAATCACATTCATGCCCCCAGGGGTGGAGGACTGGAAGTGCTCTCTTTTTTAGGGTGGAGGGGGGGAAACACATGTAACATAAAGTTCACTTTTTTAGCTTTTTGGGGGTGGGGCAGAGCTGGGTTTGAACTCAGAGCTTTGCACTTGCAAAGCAGGCGCCCTGCTGCTCGAGCCACACCTCTAGTCCATTTTGCTCTGGTTATTTTGGAGATTGGGTTTCAGGAACTATTTGTCCAGGCTGGCCTTGAACCATGATTCCCAATTTCAGATTACAGATTTCAGATTACAGGCGTGAGCCACTGACACCCAGCTTAATTTGCCTTTTTTTTTAGGCAAGTCTTGCTCTGTATCCCAGAGTGACTTCAAACTCATGATTCTCCTACCTTAGCCTCTGGGGTGCTGGAGTTACAGGCACGCACTCCCAGACCCAGCTACAAAAATTTTCATTTTTAATGTATGTGTTGCCGAAGTGAGCACAAAAGTTTAAATTTTGATGAAAGTCCAATTTATCTATTGAGTTATGACAAAGTCCTGATAAACCCAACGTAAGTTGAAAATCGTTAGACAAAAATGGGTTTAATTCACTGACCAAACATCATCGCTCATTTTGGCCTACGTTAAATGTGCCCAGAGCACGAACGTCACCCACAACTGGGCCAAACCATCTGATACGAAGACGGTTTTACAAAGGTGACGGTTTTACAAAAGTGGTGAACTTATTGAATCTTGTACTGACAGCGAAAACAGAGCGGCTGAACAGGGGCACCGGCACACCATCATCAGGCCGAAAAAGCTTCAGGCCAAGCCACCCTAACTCTGACTTCCTTTCATTGCTAGTGCTTTGTGTGTTGCTCCTAAGAAGCCACAAGTCCAAGGACACGAACATGTGACATCAGTACTTGTCACAGCTTCTTAGCCGATTCTGAGTTAAAACCACAGCCAACTCGCCTCCCCCCATGACCTGGCCGCTGGGCTGACGCTGCAGTAGTAATGCCACCAAGCTGGGAGAGCAAGGCAAGAGGACCTGGGTCTGGGTGGGACCATCAAGGCTCACGACCTTGGGTGGTCCTATGCAAGAGCCAAAGCATCCGTAGCCTGGACTCCAGGCCACCTGATTGCTCTCTTGTGACCAAGACAGAGCTGGGGCCGCTCGTCAACACTCTTTGGACCCACGCACCCCAAAGTGTGGTCCCCAGAACAGCGGCAACAGCAGGACCTGGTGAAAAGTGCAAATCCCCAGCAGAAACTCAGGTGGGGCCTGCAGAGCTGTCTAAGGCACCCCGCAGGAGACTGTGCACGCTCAGGCTGGACTGCCGGCTAGAGGGGCCCTCTGTCTAGGTCCCCACTGCCCTCTGCTGGGGGCTTCAGTCTCCACCCTCAGAGAAACCTTTTCTCTCCCAGATCTTAAGCCTTCAGAACTTCCAGCTAGCCCCAAGACCACAGAGGGGACACTCTGTCTAGTGCCCTGGCTGCACCCCCCTCCCCACAAGTCCTGTTCAGGTCCGCAGCTGAGGGCAGGAGAGCTGTGGTGCTTGTTGCCCTCATGGGCTAGAGGCTGACTTTCTCCTCCTGGGCCAAGTCCTGGCACCTGCTGAGGCCGGCGGCAGCCTCCTCTGTGCACCGCCCACTGAGGCCACAGATGGCCTCTTCCACCTGAATCCTCTCTGCCCTGATGCCTGCCCCAAGGTCACCTGAGGAGGCTCGATGAGCTGCCAGATTGGGACCGGTCACTGTCTCGACCTACGACGATGGCTTTCCATGTCTTCCCACTGAGCTCGCTGGGGGTGACACCCTGCCGGAAGTATACAGCTCGATCCTCACAGCCGATGCCCCAAACCTGGAACAGAGGTGCTGCTCAGAGGAGGTAAGATGCAGACCTGGGGCTCTTCTTTCTCACTGAGGGGATGGGGAGAACAGGAGTGTCTGGAGAGCTGGAGGCCATGTCTGCAGGGAGGAGTCCTGCCACAAACGCAGGGGTGCATGCCTGGGTGTGTGGCAGGGCTGCAAGGTCCACAGCAAAGGCGTGGGGTAAGGGCAGAAGTCCAAAATAGGAGGAGGCCAGGAGAAACAGGGACCCTGCCCTGGCTCCCCGGCTTCCCGCAGGCTTGGGGCTTTGTGGTAACAAGGTCCAGAGGAAGCAGTGGGGCCATAAGACTGTGCTGAAGGCCAGGCACCGTGGCTCACGCCTGTAATCCCAGCTAGTCAGCAGGCAGAGATCAGAGGATTGCAGTTTGAGGTCAGCCTGGTTAAATACCTCATGAGACCCTATCTTGAAAAAAAAAAACATCACAGGAAAAAACAAACAAACCAGGGCTGGCAGAGTAAGTGGACTGCCTAGCAAGTGTGAGGCCCTGAGTTCAAACCCCAGTGCTGCCCCCCCAAAAAAAGACTGTGCTGAAACACAAGGTCTACTTGGGTCACTATCTTCTGTGTGGGCTCTGGTGGGAACTTCTGTGCTTCTAGCACATTGGGGCATTGGGGTATGGTGTCACCCTCTCAGCCAGGGCTTCCTGCTACACTTTGAAGGTCCCCAAAGTTCGTCATCTATGGGAAGGAGGCTGTGCTGTCAAACCACACGGAGACGCTCGTGAGAAGCTGTATTCGGAATCAACGGCAGGAGACCAGGACCGTCCTTCATGGGGCGAACACACCACCTCAGTATTCCTTAATTTCTTTTCTCGTGGTACTGGGATTTGGATTCGGGGCTGCTGCTTGAGCCGTGTTCCTAGCCTATGTCTCTCACTGACACCTTCCAGACTCTAGGACACATGCCCAACCCCTCATCAGCACTGCTCTGAGAGTCCTTAGGGAAGGGACAAGGGACAAGTGGAGGCGCCAGGACCCTGGCAGTGCCAGGCCCCCTGGCAGCCCCCCTCAAAGGCCGGGACCCCCACTGCACCAGCCTCGGGAGCCCTGGGAACCCCGTGCACACCTGGTCATTCAGCCCCACGTTCACCATCAGCATCTCTCCGACCATCTCCACCCAGCTGGTGCCACAGGGATTGTGTGAATTGACACCTCTCCGGAACCAGACCTGAAAATGTCAAAATGAACACGCTTCCCCAGAGGGCCATGGGGACAGACAGCTGAGCTGTTGTTAGGTTTAGTTTTAGCTTTTGAGACAGAGTCTTGCTATGCGGCCCAGGCTGGCCTGAATTCCCCGTCCTCCCCAGTAACACAGGGCTTTCTTAAGGGTCAGGAAGACCATTTAGGAAGGCGATGTTGATTCATGTCCTCCTCTACACACTCTTGCTGGGTGTCCCCTGAACGTGGCACAGTCCTCCAGGGCTGAGAGTCACCCACCCTCAGCCACACATGACCTGGCATCTTCCTATCTACTTCTACCCTTATACTTGCAAATTTGGACTCGTTTTCTCTGTGTAAGCCTTATGAGATTATTCAGGAGAACTCTATAAACTCATTATTAACCTTTTCAGTTTCTTATTTTCATTTTTTATGCAAACCTTCTTGATGCTATTTTTTTTTTCTTGTCAACTTGTGAGAACACAACATCTACCTCAGTTTTCCCCAGACCCACCTGTGGCTCCATGATTTGCCTGGTGGTCACATCCCCTAACCTGAGTCCACTGTCCACTAGGGCCATTCTCACCACTTCACCAGCCCCATCAGTCTCAGACCTGGTCTAGCAGCACCTGAATGTTCTAGAATTCCTGGGGTGGGGCGGGGAGGGGCTGTTTCATGCAAAAACCCTGAGATCCCTATTGTAACAGTTTCTAGAGAGCCCGGCAAGGTTATAGAGCCAGCTACTCAGCAGGCTCAAGTAGACGGCCTGAGTCTGGGAATCTGAGGCCAGTCTGGGAACACAGCAAGCCCCTGTCTCTAAAAAAATTTTTTTCTAGAGCCTCTAAAATGTCTCCGAAATCCCCCAAAAGTGAACACATCAAATATTTGTCTGAAGACCAAAAAAAGTGAGCACATGAACTAGTTGAAGACTGAGCTAAGTTGCGTACAACTCAGATTTTTGCTATTACTCCAAAGGGGACAACAGGCTGCTGTGTGAGTGGCTGAGAGACCCTGGTCCCAGGAAGCACTCGGGACCCACTGTGGGCAGCCTGGCCCGGGTTTGCCCAGGACAGACATGGCTTGAGGATATGGACCCTCTGGCCCTGGAGAGGCCGACTCAGATGTGAGGGCTGTCTGTCCCCTTGAGTGCAGTCAGAAAGAAGTGGCGAAAGCCACCTGCAAGTGGCTAACGTCGCTGGACTTGGCTCTGATAAGATCCACATGACAAGCACTGAACTGGAGAAAGGACAGGCATGCCACTACCTGGGTTTTGGCAAATTAGCTCTGCGCTTCTGTATGGGGGTGGGGTGGGGCAGATGCAGATTTATTATAAAGGGTACAGACACTGCTCACAGAACCGAAACCCTCCATGTTCAATGGCACCCAGCCCCCACCTCACCTTCCGGTCCTTGGTGACAGCCCAGACCACGCTGACGCCCGCAGAGACATGCATGATCCCGTTTTCAGACCCGGGAGGCTCCACAATAGACCAGGAACTTCCTAGCAGCCCCAGAGAAACCCCAGGCGTCTTTGTCAGCCAAGACACCAAGGGCAAGGCCCCCATTCCTGGGCCGGGGGGGCTCACCTTTAGGGTTGTTCCGGCTGATTCCTTCCCGGACCAGGGCCTGGCCCTCCCAGAGGGTGGCCCACAGGAGGTCGTGGGGCCCACAACTGATCTGGACCACCTCCGCGGGAGTGTCTACCAGGGACCATGAAGAGCCTTCTGGGTTGGGGTGGCTGACACCCTCTCTGTACCACACCTGGGAAGCAGTGAGACAGTGCAGCGCTCATTAGCACGTCCACACGTGTGCTCACACACGCGTGGGGGGTCTCCCTCACATCAGTGGCAAAGTTGATGAATCCCATCCTGGTGAAAATAGGCAAACCCTGGATTTCGGTGGCCCTTGGGGACAGACCCACTCTGCTTATCTTGTGACAACTATCCAACCACCCACTCGACTCCAGCCTCAGACACAAGGCACCCTCAGCTGCCAGGCAGCCCTGTGCCTGGCCCCTAGTGGTCACATGCTTCCAGGACCCCACAGTTAGGGGAAGCCAGGGTCAGTCTGGTGGTTTACGTGTGTCAAAAATGCCCCCTTCTTCTGCGCCTTGACCTGAATGGTTAAACCCCTGAAGTACCCTCCTATCATTCAACTCGTTTAGTTCACTTTGGCTGGAGGAGGCTGCACCTCTCTGCATGGTTCAGAGAGGGCTGCTGGTTCACTGGTGGCCCCTCCTCCTCTCTCTGCATCCAGGTGGACATGGCCCCTCAATTGGGGCTGTCCCAGGCCAGCTCTCTTATCCTGCCCGGTCTCTCCCCAGCACCCTTCAGTGAGGCTCAGAGGAAGTAACTGTGGTTAACCTAAGTCAGGGCTCAACATGACCCTGGAGGTGAGCCTGCTAAAAATAATCTGCTTTGACTGTTTCAAAGCAGCAGAGACCTGAGGTCAATTTGTGGTAAGAGTTACTGAACAATCATGAAGTACGAGCTGAAACCACGATGGAGGTGCTGGGTCGCCTGTGCTGGGGCCCACTGGGGCCGCTGCTGCCACTGAGGGTTGGTTTTACAGATGTTATCCACCCACCCACCTATTCACCCATCCACCCACTGATCCTTCCATCCACACACACGTTATCTATCAATCCACTCACTATCCACCCACCCACCCACAATCCATCCATCTATACATGTTATCCACCCACCCACCCACCTGTTCATCCATCTGCCCACCCAGCCACATTCATTCATCTACACACATTATCCATTCACCCACCCGGTCATCCATCTTTCTACACACACCACCCACCTACTCACTCACTTACCACATCCATCCACCTAAACACACAAGTTATCCACCTATTCACTCACCATCCACCCACCCACCCACCATCCATTCATCTACACGTTATCCAGCCGTCCACCCACCTGTTCATCCACCCACTCACCCCCCACACACATTATCCATCTACTCACCTACCTATTCATCCATCCATCATTCATTCATCCAACCATGCATCCTTCTATACACACAGATGCTATTCATCCCACCCACTTATTCATCCATCTACCCACCCACCATCCATCCATTTACCCACCATTCATCCATCTAGCTACATACACACGATATCCATCCACCCACCTACCCATTCACACACCATCCTCATCCCACCTCTTCGTCCAGCTAGCCAGCCAACATCCAACCATCCACCCATCTCCCTACCTTCCACCCATCTATCCATCCATCCACCCATCCATCCATCTTCCTATCCTCCATCTACCTACAAACCCACTACCTATCCACCCCCCCCAACACCATCCAATCTTCATCACCCCTGTGTAATATTCCTGAAGATTACTAAGGGACCACAGAGGAGCTGGCAGGAGCCCAGAAGCTATCCAAGGAGACAATATTGGTAGATCTGTGCCTGAGCTGGGCTAGGAGGAGACATGGGCCACCACCAGTCATGGGATGGAGATCAGAGGCTGCTAGAAAAGACCCAAAGCCTCAAGCCTGGGCCATGGAAGGGGACTACAGGAACCTACTCAGGAAGCCCCAGCTTCAGGGACAGGGCGAGGAGGTCTCCAGTGAAGCCCTTTCTTCCACCTAGAGGAACCCCTTGCCCTACTTTGGCCTGTGGCTGGCCTCTCTCGCCACCTCCCCACCACAATCCAGGGAGAATGTGGCCTTACCTTTCCCTGGAGAGACACAGCCCACACTGACAGGCGGCCCACAGGCTCCTCTGTGATCTCCCACCCCCCCACGGAGAGGTCATTGAAGGGGTCAGGCAGCTCCTTGGGGTCATCCTTTGAAGGGATCTGAAAGGAGGTAACAGGGTCTGTCATTACCTGGTGAGTTCCTGGCCAGGCTGCCACACTGTATCCCCTCCCTCCCTTGTCCACCTCCCCTCCAGCCATTTCGTGCACCTTCCATTCTCAGCTCAGCCATAGCTGATTACGAAGCAGCCACAGGACTGCAGCCTCCTGGCTCTGAGTCCCCTTTGCCCTCTCTATCAGCCACAGGTCTGGGCTGCTGTCCCCAAAGGGGCACTGCTGCTCCCATGGGAAAGGATGATGTGCTCCAGGGTCTCAGCTCTGGACTTCTAGTGACCTGGCACTGGGATGCTGTGTGTTGCAGAATGGGCTCATGCCGAATGTGGACACTCTGCTCTCTGAGCTCTTCCTAGTCCCAGTGGCCTGGGGAGCTGGGCTGGCAGCCACGGATGCTGTGGCCAGCCTAAGGCCTCCTCTCTTTGGAGGCCACTGGGGGACCCCATTCTGGGTCATGGAAACAGTACTGGAGCCTTGGTAGGGGAGGGGATGCCTGGGGCAGGACAAGTTCTATGCCATCCTGGGTCACAGTCTGCCCGGCTCTGTAGGGACACAGAGCCATGCAGTTCTGTGACAGGAAACAACTCAAAGGCCAAGTCCTAGGGTAGGTATGGGGTCCCCGTGTACACAGGCAAGAGGACAGGGTCAAGGCTCCCTTTTACCCTCCTTTTATCCTCCTGTCTCCAGTCTCCTATCTGTGTGGAACCTGTCCCCCCACACGGCATGCGCAGGTACAAGGACCTTAGCCCAGCTGTCCCGGGACTTGTATCTCCGGTACCGGATCCACTTCCGCCGTCGTACACATGAATTCCACTTCTTGTCTCTCGTGTAGGTTGCGGGAAAGTCGATGGCATATGTCCACCCCTGCAAACCATGTTGGGGCACTGTCAGGCTGGGGAAGGGGAGGGCGAGGAGGAAGAGGAGGGAGGCATGGGGTGTCGGAAGTGGGGCAGCCCAACCAAAAGCATCAATTCCCCAGCAAGCAGAGGTTAGACACCATGGGTGCTGGGGACAGCAGCAGTGGGGGACAGGCTGAGCCCCTAGCACCCCCTCCCCATGGGACAGCCATGATGGTTACCAAGTTCACCTACCCCTTTCTCGGTGGGCTCCCCTCCAAAATTCTCATCCACGTACCAGTCTGACTCCCACTCCCAGTGGGGTGACAGCAGTGCAACCCCATCTAGCGGCCGGGGCTGGAGCCCACTCACATCACTCCATGGCCAGCGGTCACTCGGCAGCAGCTTCTCACAAAAGCCGCCCATGGGGTTCCAGCGCTGGGACCAGGGGACACATAGACAGCCTTAGGCCCCAGCCTACTGGGAGGAGACCCAGGGAGGCTGGGCCTCTCTGAGGCCAGCAGGCCCCTCTCGCTCATCTGGGAGACAAGTGGGAGGCCTGTCTCAGGGATCAAGGACTCTCATGCCACTTCAGCAAGAGCCAGTGCATCAGACCAGATACAGTGACACACACCAATAATCCCAGCTACTTGGGAGGTGGAGGTAGGAGGATCACGGTCCAAGGATGGCCTGAGGCAAAAAGTGTGAGACCCTATCTGAAAAAATAACTAAAGCAAAAAGGATTGGGGCATGGCTCAAGTGGTAGAACACCTGTCTAGCAAGTGCAGGGTCCTGAGTTCAAGCCCCAGACTGCCAAAAAAGCCAGCATATCATCATGGCTTCCAAGAGTAGAGACCCTCCCCCCAAAGCCACAGAGCTCCAAGGGACAAGGAGTAGAAGGCATCTTCCCATCCCACCCTCCACCCTTGAGCTCCTGGAAACCACGTGGGCCCACCCTCGTGCAGACCCACCCTCATGCAGACCCACCCTCGTGCAGACCCACCCTCGTCTCCTGCAGACCCAGCCTCGTGCAGACCCAGCCTCGTGCAGACCCGCCCTCGTGCAGACCCAGCCTCGTGCAGACCCAGCCTCGAGCAGACCCAGCCTCGTGCAGACCCAGCCTCGTCTCGTGCAGACCCAGCCTCGTGCAGACCCAGCCTCGTCTCGTGCAGACCCAGCCTCGTCTCGTGCAGACCCAGCCTCGTGCAGACCCGCCCTCGTGCAGACCCAGCCTCGTGCAGACCCAGCCTCGAGCAGACCCAGCCTCGTGCAGACCCAGCCTCGAGCAGACCCAGCCTCGTGCAGACCCAGCCTCGTGCAGACCCGCCCTCGTGCAGACCCAGCCTCGAGCAGACCCAGCCTCGTGCAGACCCAGCCAGCCGTCTCTAGCAAAGACACGCCCGGGACTCCAGCCCGGACACCCTAGATACCACACAAGGTAAATCTGGAGTCTAAGGAGGGCCATGGGTGTGGAGATGACGGGAGGCTGATGTCTCCCTTCCCTTCCTGGGTTCACTGTAACGGATAATGGTACCTGGTTCTCGTAGGCTTCCTCTCGGTGGCGGATGGGGACATCGCTGGCACACACATACAAGTAGACCTGGTTGTCACACGCGATGCCCCAGCAGCACTGCGTGGCCGCGCTGACCCTCTTAAACTCCAGCTGGGCATCCTTGCACAGCTCCCAGCACTGGCCCGCCGTGGACAGCGTGTACACCCTCCCGAATAGGTCCACCGCCCACAGCACCGAAGTGGGCATGATGACAGCAGCAAGAAGAAAAGCGTCAGCCAGGCGTGGTGGTGCACGCCTGCAATCCCAGCACTCAACAGGCAGAAGCAGGAAGAGCACAGGTTTAAGGTCAGCCTGGGCTACACAGCAAGTTCGAGGTAGGCCTGGGCTACATAGTGAGACCCTGTCTCAAAACAAAACAAAAAAACAGGAGTGTCAGTGCACTGGCTCCCAGCCCAGGGACATCAAGGGCCTAGGAACCCTGTGTGGTGCCTGTCTCATGCCACAGATGGCAAAATGAGTTCCAAAGAAAGGAGCAAGGGGTAGCCCCAAAGATTGGAAGCAGAGTCTGACATCCAGTGTAAGTTTTTTTTTTTTTTCCTTTTGACATCCTTCCTTTTCACTGTGTGGATTTTTTTTCTAACATACAGAAAATTATAGGGGCTGGGGATGGGGCTCAGTGGTACAGTACTTGGTCAGTGTGTGAGAGGCTCTGAATTCCATCCTCAGCATCGAAAAAACAAGCAAACAAAAATCCAGCTGGGCACTGGTAGCTCATGCCTGTAATCCCAGATAGTGTGGAGGCAAAGATCAGGAGAATCACAGTTTGAGGCCAGCCTAAACAAATAGTTTGCAAGACCCCATCTCCAAAATAACCACAGCAAAATGAACTGGGGGTGTGGATGAAGCGGTAGAGCGCCTGCTTTGCAAGTGTGAAGCTTTGAGTTCAAACTCCAGTCCACCAAAAACAAACAAACAAAACCCCCCAAAGTACAAGAAAAAGAAATGTAACAACCATACAACATACTTACCTTCCCAAATTTAATAAATGTTATTACTTTGTTAGTAATTTCTTCAGGTCTTTTTTTTTCAAAAGCGTAAGTGAAAGTTTGATCAATAGTAAACATGGTCACATGCAGGAACTCAGGCACACAACGCACTCACACATTTACAATACACAAGTGTATTGGAATAAACCACCATCCTCATGGGGCACGGCTGTTTATAATGGCAGGTACAAAACTGCGGTGGGGGTGGGGTGACTGAAAACCCCTGAGAATTGAGCAGAAGCTGACAATTTGCATGTTCGTCAGAAGTTATGGCTGTTCCTCTTTCTCACCCTGGCAAGCGGAGGCTGGCTTCTACATGCTATCGAGGAAAAGGGGGATCTCAGTCGGGAAATGCCCCAAAACTGGGTGTGCAGCTGGGCTCACCAGGCACCAGATGGGAGTAATAAAAAGAGATACTCAGTGCTGGTGGCTCTCACCTGTAATCCCAGCCACTTGGGAGGCTGAGATTGGGAGGATCAAGGTTCCAGGGCAGCTCAGGAGAATAGTTGGTGAGACCCCATCTCCAAAATAACCAGAGCGAAATGGGCTGGAGGTGTGGCTTAATTGGTAAAAGCACCTGCTTTTGCAACTATGAAGCTCTGAGTTCAAACCCCAGTCCCACCAAAAAAAAAAAAGAGAGCTAGACAAATGTTCAAGTTACAGGAAGTTGTGCAAAAATAGACAAAGGTGCTCACCAGGAAGATGGCTTGGTAGCTCTGGACTTGGGAGAGACTCTGGGGGAGTCACTGATCCTGTACTCATAGGACCCTGGGCAAAAATGGAAGATCAAGTATCACACCATCCGCTCATGCCATAGAAGATGGAAACCTGGGCTGCTGGGCCAGAGCACAAGGCCCAAACCCAGAACATAAATAAAAAGAAACCTCATGCTCCCTCCTTGTGCCACTGTGACATTCCTATTGGGCCTGGTGAAGGGTAACCACATGGGCCTGGCAGCCCAGCCAAAGCCTCAAGGGGCCATGTGAACTGCAAGGCAAAAGTTCCTCTCTGCCCTCCTTGAGCGACACCAGCCTCTCTCTTTCTGACTCTTCCCGTCATTCTCCATTCCTTTCCTTTTTTTCTCCTTTCTTTTTGCCCTGGACAGGGTGGCCTGGCTCTGTCACTGACTAGGTCCCCACCCCCAGGGCTGACATTACTTGCTCCCTGGAGTCCTGGCTGGTGGCTTCCTACCACAGCAGACCATATGGCTATACCCAAGGCAACCAAACCCAGAGAGACTGAATGAGAGCAGCAGGGACTCACAAGGGACAGATCTGCCTGACAGGATGTTTTTTCCAGATAAGAGAAAACACCATCCTTAGAGGGCCAGATGCAGCAGCTCACACCTGTAATCTCAGTTTCTCAGGAGGCAGAGATCAGGAAGATCACTGTTTGAGGCCAGGCCAGGGAAAAAGTTAGTGAGACCCCATTTCAACCAACAAGTTGAGCATGGTGGCATGCCCCTGTGATCCCTTCTAAGAGGGAGGCATGAACAGGAAGATCAAGTCCAGGCTGGACTGGACAAAAACATGACACCTTAACTGAAAAATAACTAAAGGAAAAAGGACTGGGGGTGTAGCTCAAGTGGTAGAGTACCTGCTTAGCATGTGCAAGGCCCTGAGTTCAAACCCCAGTACTGCCAAACAAGAAATCACTGCCCTTGGGTCAGGAGAGAGGGAAGGCCTAAGGATGAGGACATGGCCAGTATGGTTTGGAACCAGAGTCACCAGGAGATGGACAGGTTTATTAGGGGCCTGGAGGCTGGGCCAGGCTGCTGCAGCTTGCCAGAGGCCTGGGGTGCCCCAGAAGGCACTGTGGGCGTAGTGATGAGGGAGCAGGTGTGAAAGTTAAGCGCATCTGCTGAGCACAAAACAGGCTCTTCTGGAGCAAAGCAAGTCTGAGGAACATGAGGAAGAGCGCAGGTGGCGAAGGAAGTGACAGGAGATAAGAAACAGGAAGACATGAAGCAGAGCAGAACCCAGTTCTGGGAACACCCACGGCAGGAAGCAGACACCAGGAGGGACACTGGCCAGCAAAGTGAAGCAAGTCTGGGGGTGAAAGCACCCCCAAAGATGCTAACTTCCTCAACCACAGGGAAATCCGGACACCAGTCTTCTGGAGCCAGATGACAACTGTGGTCTGTGTCCAGGGGCCTGAGTTGGGACCTCAGTGACCCCAGCTGCCCCTTCCTTCCTCTTGGTCAGGCCTGAAAGTCCCTCTGGCTCCCTCATTGTGACTAAGAGTCCAAAGCTGTCTGGAAGCAGACTTCTAGAACTCAGGTCCTGGATTCACATTCTGACATCATCTAAAGCTAACTAATCTGTCTGGACTTGATTTCCTAATGTGTAAAGGTCAAAAAGCAACAGTGATCACTTCCTGAGAGGCCATAGAGCTTATGACAAACACTGCTCTGTGCCCAGCAGGAACTCAATACATGTTCCTAGTGTCATTTCCTCAATTGGTATTTGCTTCAAATTCTTTTTTTTTTTTTCATGGTACTGAGGCTTGAATTCAGGGCCTACACCTTGAGCCACTCTACCAGCCCTTTTGTGTGTGTGTGTGTGTGTGTGTGTGTGTGTGTGTGTGTGATGGGTTTTTTCAAGATAGAGTCTCACAAACTATTTGCCCAGGTTGGCTTCGAACAGTGATCTTCCTGATCTCTCTGCCTTCTGAATAGCTGGTATTACAGGTCTGAGCCACTGGCGCCTGACCTTAATTGGTATTGCTATATCACACACTGCCCCTAATCTCCAGTCTCTCTTTTTTTTCTTGCTATATGTTTGAAAATCTTCAACATAGAATGTTGACAAAAACAGTAAGGGTTATTTTGGACATACCAAGATTTTAATTTAGGGCCTCATGCTGGCTAAGCAGGCACTGTACCACTTGCGCCATGCCCCCAGACCTTTTTTGCTTTAGTTATTTTTCAGATAGGTTCTTCTTCTTTTTTTTTTTTTTCGTTCCCAGGGCCAGTCTCAGATCTTGATCCTCTGTGCCTTCCTCACACTGGGATCACATGCCTGCACCACCTCACCCAGCTTATTGATTGAGATGGGGTCTTGATAACATTTGCCCAGGCTGGTCTCCAAATGTGATCTTCCCCATCTCTGCCTTCTGAGTAGCAGGGATTACAAAAGTGAGCCACCATGCTCTGCCTAGGTAAGGGTTGCTTAAAAATGTCAGTTTCTGAGGTGTCATTTTAATATAAGTTAGTCTTTAAAGATTGTTCACATGGCTGGGATGCAGCTCAGTGGCAGAGCAGGTCCCTACCGTGCACAAGGCTCTGGGTTTGAGTCCCAGCATTGCAAAAAAAAAAAAGTGATCCATTTGCTGGATGTACTGGTGTATGCCTGTAATCCCGGCACTCCAGGGGCTGAGGCAGGAGGATATCAAGTATGAGGCCAGTCTGTGCTACATAACCTTTAAGTCAGGCTCAGCTTGCAGGCTGAGCTCAAAGAATAGGAATGCTACTTACATTTGATACACTTTCTTTCAGATTAATGACTGTGCAGTAATTTCCTTCCTGACATAATTGAACCTACTGAGCAGCGAACAGAATTCTCTGTGGCAGAGAAAGGGTGGAATGGGGGTTGTGTTTACAAACTGCCTTCACAGGGGACAGCAGACACTTCCCAGCTAAAGGTGGGAAGCTAGTCACACCTCCTTTCTGTCTGGGCCACAGCGCTGCCCAAACTGGTCACATGCCACTTACTGGTTATGACCTCACCAGGCAACCTGTCCTGAGAGGATCACAGGACTGTGCAAAGGAGGCTTGGAGCCTTCAGTCTCACGACGCTGGGAACCTGAGATCTCTTGGTTTGGTAGACGTGAAGGGATGGAGGGAACAACCTCTACTTCACCACGAACTTAGACAAGATAGACTGGACTTGAACCTTCAGTCATTTCAAACAAACAAACGAAAAGTGCATGGCCACCACCTCCAAAGCCATCTGCCCTTTAGAGTCACTTTATTCACAGTTCTCTTCAGAGAGCAAAAAGTGCCCAAGGGCAGTGAGGCAGGTGTGGCAGAGGGTGTGACACAGGCCAAGGAAGCACCCTGTACATTTTACTCCCCACCAATCCATCCCCAGACTCCCTGCGAGGTTTCTAGCTTGTTTTTCTATTATTCTGTCGCTCCCATCTGGCGTGCACTGGCTACGAAGGCTGTTTTTGTAGGCTGCCAAGCCACATCGTGGTGCAAAAGGGTGGGAGGAACCAGTAGGAAGTGCATGACAGTTGAACCAACCCCACCTTAAGGATAAATAGGGTCCGCCCGGCCCCACCAGGCAAGAAGGAGGTGCCCTATGTCAGCCCAGCTCTGCAATCGGGCGACAGGTGGGGTCCCCTGCCTGTAGCATGTGTCCCAGCGCTGCAAGGCCCTGCCTGACCATCTGCCCATGCAAATCCCAGGAAAGCAGATTTACTCCCACCGCTGCCCACGAACTCCATTCTCGAAACCCACCCAGTTCCAGTGATCAGCTTCCCAAATCACTGCAGGCAGCTGTGGGGGCGTCCTGGGAATCCGGCACGTGGGCGGGGCGGGGCCTTCCAGGTGTGCAGGACGCTCCAGGTGTGCACGACACAGCACAGGTACAGCCGCTCCCTCCCTCCGAGTGTGATGTGGGACGCCGCTGACCCCTCTCCCGCCTCCCCAACCTTCACGGAGGGATCGGACATCCGTCCTCATTGCCCTGCCACCGCCTGCAGAGGGGACACCGCGTTGCACTCACCTGCGACGGTGCCCGGCGGCGCGGGGTCGCAGCCAGTGCTCCTCAGCCGTAGCGATATAGCGGGCCGACCCTCCCCCGGCCACAGGCGAGAGGGTTGGCCGGAAGTAGCGGCAAGACTCTCGTTCATTGGTCAATCTCGCTGTGACGCAACGGCCAGAGCGCGTCTGATTGGATGATGCGTGCCACCTCCTGCCGGCTTCGGGGGAGGGGAGGGTCGACGGAGTCATACGCCCGCCCACTTCCGGGGTCACGTCGTGTCGGAGCCGCCGGGGTTCCGGGGAGCAAGGTCCCCGCGTGGTTTGTGTGGCGGAACGAAGCGCCGTCTGCCCGGGAGCCCCAGGACCCGGCCGCAAGAGCAGAGCGGCGGTGTGGACGCGGGGCCCGCAGGCGAGGAGAGGGGGCGGGTCGCAGTGACCGGAGCGGCACGGGCGTGTGGGCGCCCGGCCGGGGACCTGCGGGGTCCCCGGGGGTGAGAAGTAGCCCTTGGGTACGGAGACCTGGCGCTTTAGCCTTCGTGCGAGGACTCCCAGAAACGTGGCTCTGTGGCCGGAATCCCAACTGCTCAGGAGGCAGAGATCAGGAGGATCGCGGTTCGAAGCCAGCCAGGGCAAGTAGTTCACGAGACCCTATCTCAAAAAAAACCATCACAAAACAGGGTTTGTGGAGTGACTCAAGGTGAAAGCCCTGAGTTCAAACCCCAGTACTGCAAAAAATAAATAAGTAAGTAAGTAAATAAATAAATAAATAAAAACGTGGTTCTGTGACCCTAGGGTGGCATGCTGTCAATGGAGGTCATGGTATTCCGCCAACTGCGTGTTGCCAAGTGACAACCTAGCGCCACCGGCATGATACATAAATATAAATATATATGTATTATAAATAAACATGTAAAATAAATATGTAGTTTATTTTATAGTATATTTTATACATATATAGTACATTTTATACATATGTGTGTGTGTATACATACGTACAGATATGTAATAGCAGTCCTGGGTGAGTGTTTCTTGGGTGCCAGGCACCGATGCACCTGCTCTTTACAATGAACCTTGTGCTTCATCCTCCCAGCAGCCCCAAAGACGCAGGTGTTGATGTTATTCTTAATGTTCTTCCTTCCCTTTTTTTTTTTTTTTTTGTGGCACTGGGGTTTGAAGTCAGGGCCTTGCATTTGTTAGGCAGGTACTCTGCCTCTTGAGCCATGATCCCCCCCACCCGCTTTCCCATCTTAAAGATGGGGACACTGACTTAGAGCTTGAGTGGTGGACCCTGGGATACAAAGCCACTGTGTCCAGCCTGGGAGAATAGTACCCAGAAAAAAGGGTGAAAAAGAGTGAAATAAAAGGGTTGGGAGGATGTCTGGTGAAAGGATGGGCACAACTTGACACAGGCTAAAACAGGGTCGCTTGGATCTCATTTTCCCTGTGCTAGAATTTGCATCTGGACTGTCCCCCAAAGGTCCCTAGCTGGGCACTACTGGGAGGTGGTGGAAACTTTGAAGAAGAGGAGCCTGCTGGGAGTTCTCCAGGTCATTGGGGACATTGGCCTCTTGCTCTGTCACTGTCCAGTTGTAGTGAACACTTCTGCTTTATGACATACTGCCTTGCTGCACACTTAAGAGCAAAGGGCCAAGCGATCATGGACTGAAATCTCCAAAACTGAGCCCCAAAAACCTTTCTTCTTTGTAAGTTGATTATCTTAAGTATTTGTTACACTAGTAGAAACCTGATCAATCCCACTCTCGTCCCTCTTGGTTTTGCTACTTTTTTTTTTTTGGTAGGCAAGCACGCTACTACTTGAGCCGTACCTCTAGCCCAATACTGAAGTTTTGAACTCAGGGCCTCTGCTTGGTTGGTAGGCAGGAGCTCTACCACTTGAGCCATTCCATCAGGCCTTTTTGCTCTGGTTGTTTGGGTGATAGGGTCTCACTTTTTGCCCAGGCTGGCCTGGACTACGATCTTCCTATTTCATACTTCCCATCATAGCTGGGATGACCGGCACTTATCACCACTCCCAGTTTTTTTTTTTCATTGAGATGAGATCTCACAAACTTTTGACTGTGCTGGCCGGTAACAGCAATCCACCTGATTTCAACGTCCTACTTAGCTGGGGATGACAAGGAGTACTTCACTCAGCTGTTGGTTGAGATGGCATCTTTTGAACTATTTGCCAGGGTTGGCCTCGAACTGCAGTCCTTGTGATCTCAGCCTCCCAAGTAGCTAGACATGAGCAACAGGCACTTGGCTTGCTTTGTTTTTCAGGTAGGGTCTCACTTTCTTTTTTTTTCCAGGTTGACCTGGACTTTGATCCTTCTACCTCTGCCTCCCAAGTAGCTGGAATTACAGCTGTTTCCATACCTGCTGTTCTTCCTGCTTTCTGAGGATGCAGATTGGCTTTACCTTGACATCTTGGCTGGGAAACGCCAACTCCAGTGGAAGGAAAAGCGGAAGTCTGTTAATCCTGGAAGGCTTCATGGAGTAACCTTGACCCTATCCTGAACACAAGGGATTGGCATTTGGTGGGTTTAGCCTGGAAGTGTGGGTGGAGCCCACTCATAGTGTAAAGGCTCAGGGAGGCAGAAGGGATGATTCCTCAGAAATCAGGGTCCTGTTATCAGATGGAGGTGTGCCTGCTAGACTGCAGGAACTATAGTTTGGAGGCAGGGAGGTCTGAATTCTATTGTCTGAAATGCTTGTAGCCACTTCTCTTCTTTGGCCTCAATTTCCACATTGAAAGAGATACTGTGCCAGGTGTGGTGGTGCAGGCCTGTAATCCCAGCAGCCAGGAGACTGAAGCAGGAGGATGGCAAGTTGGAGGCCAGTGTAGTCTACATGGAGACCCTATCTCCAAGCAAAACGAAAAAGAGGCATTAATCAGGCACTCTCCATGGCCCTTGCAGGGCTCGTGTGCCCTGATCGAGTTCAATGGTAGTGTTCTGAATTTATGGTTGGGCACAGCAGATCTGGGGACCTAAGCCCCCTGCACCTAGTTCTTGCAGCTTTTGCAGAGCTGGCTGCCTTCATTTGTAAGGAGGCCTGTGTTTTCTGCCCTCCCCACAAGAACTACCTACATTCTGACTTGCGTCCTATTGACTTCCTTCACTTCCTGCTTCTTCATCCTCACCTTGATACTTCTCTCCTAGCCCAGACACAGTGAGTTCATTCTTTTTGTTGTTGGTTTTGGTGGTGCTGGGGTTTGAACTCGGGGCCTCACACTTGCTGGGCAGGTGCTCGACCATTTGAGCCACTCCACCACCCTTTTTTGTGATGGGTTTTTTCAGGATAGGGTATTGCAAACTATATGCCCAAGCCAACTTCGAACCTCAATCCTCCTGATCTCAGCCTCCCGAGTAGTTGGGATTATAGGTGTGAGCCACCACCTGGCTTGACACAGTGAGTTCAGACCCCAGATCCATCACTCACAGTGAATCCCTTGAGCACTGAGCCTGCGTTGTCGTCTGAAACAACGTCATCACCTGGGGTGGTTGGGAGGATGAAGTGAGAACGAATGTGGCAGCCAGCATATTACTTGTAGTGTTAGGTCCTCTGTGTAGTTGGATTAGGGTCCTTGGCCTTTACTCACTGCTGCTTAGTGAGAGTTCCAGAAACACTTTTGACACAGCAGTGTACATAACATATCTGTGGTTTGGGGACAGCAAGGGGTCGCAAGATTGAGGGGAGTGCAAGTTGACCACTGCCTCAGTGATCGCCCCCAGCCACAGGAAGGAGTGTAGTATCTTCCTCGCCTGGCTTTGCCTTCCCTGGAGCACTCATTTCTCTCTCTCTCTCTCTCTCTCTCTCTTTCCTTTTAAACTCAGGGCCTCAAGCTTGCTAGGTAGTAGGCGCTCTGAGTCAACATCCCACCTGCTTTAGTATTTTTCCTCAGCCCTTTTTGCTTTAGTTATTTTTTGGACAGGGTCTCATGTTTTTGCTGGTGCTGGTAAACTCAGGGCCTCAAGCTTGCTAGGTAGGCGCTCTACCACCTGAGTCACATCCTCAGCCCTTTTTGCTTTAGTTATTTTTTGGACAGGGTCTCATGTTTTTGCTGGTGCTGGTCTGGACTGTGATCTTTTTATTTACACCTTTGTAGTTGGGATTACAGCATGTACCACCACGCCTGCCTTTTTTGCTTTGTTTTGGAAGTACTGGAGAGTTGAATCAGGGCCTCGAGCTTGTTAGACAGGCGTTTTACCACTTGAGCCACCCCACCAGCCCTTTTAGCATCAGATATTTTTGAGATAGGGTCTCACTTTATGCTGGGGCCACCTGGACCACGATCATCCTATTTGTGCTTCCCTGCATAGCCGAGATGACAGCCATGTGTCACTACAGCCAGACATTGATTGGGATGGAGTCTTGTGAACTTTTTGCCTGGGTTGGCCTCCACCTGCAGTCTTCCTAATCTCTGATTCCCTAGTAGCTGGGAATACAGGCTTGAGCACTCTGGCTTCTTTAAGATGAGGTCTCACTAATATTTTGCCCAGGCTGGCATCCAACCACGATCCTCCGGATCTCCAACTCCCAAGTAGCAGGGATTATAGGTGGGAGCCACATGCCTGGCACCCTCATTTCCTCCAGCTCCCATGAGCCTCTAGGCTCCAGCCTTGGTGGAACTCATTACTGCAGACCCTGCTCTGCTCTGTTGTACCTATGGGCTTCCAACACACAGCCTCTCCTGTCCCAAATGTCCTCCCCTTCCTTTTTCCCTGACCACTCTCATTCGGTCTTTAAGCCTCAAGCCAAACGTTACTTTCTTTCAGGTTATGGAACGTGAAAGAAAGTAGGCCTCAGGTTGTTGTTGTTAGACAGGGTCTGTTTAACCCAGGCAGCCTGGAGCTCAGGATCCTCCTGCCTTGGCCTCCTGAGTGCTGGGATTACAGGCGTGAACCAGCATGCCCAGCTGGCCTGTGTGATGACGCCCTCACATTTGTTCACCCTAACCTCTCAAACGGTGTAACTGTTTGCTTTCCCACCCGTCTCCCTGACCAGCTGTGAGATCCTTGAGGGACAATTTAAATTTAGATTGGTTATGTATGTGGTCCTAACACTTCCTTCTAGTAGCCTCTCTGATCTGACC